AAAAGTTTGCTTTGTCAGTTTTGCCAAGTCGAATGAGCTCAGGTGTTTCTACGTGTCAGGTGTGCAGCGGGAAATGGGCAGAAAAGCTTTTTGTGCACTCGTGACCAAGCGGATGGGAACACTGTGTCTCACAGTTTGCCCTTTGCACATGTGGCACCCAGCAGGAGAGTGTCTGTGTCAGACGCGTGCTCACCCAGAGGAAATACTCATAGGTCGTACGGGAGGCAGGACGCGATGCAAAAAAACACTGCGGTCACCTGACCGGTTTGGAAATTTGGTCTTTTGCCATTCGTCTGATAGCTCCCTTCCCCAGAAGAGTCCCTAAATCTACTGCTCTCTGCAGATAAACATTACAGTCTGAATTCACCCTCAAATTAACTGTTTCATGAGCAAAAAAAAGATCAGCTAGAACAAATAAAGACAGATCGATCAAAGTTATATAAACTAGAGTGTAAAACTAGAGAGATGCCTGGTAAACGGTATGAGTGGAACCATCACATCTGTCTCACCTGTTGTCAGGCAAGGTCACCCGAACCAATCTCATTTCACCGATTCAATGTTTTTGTGTTGTCATGGTGACTGCGCCCTACACGAGTGGCTGGAACTTGAGTCCTGAACTAATTTAGCTGCGCATTGCTGGTAATGAATCTGTGACTGTGGACACTGTTGTTCATTAGCTGAACGATGTTGCAGCCTGCTGCACCTGATCGTGCTCCTGCTCGTGTCCGCGTGGGGGAACGCATTCACACATGCATACTATTCGGAATCAAGCCAGGTTGATCTTGCGTAGATGCAGAATAAAAATGCATTGAATATGTTCACAAAAGTGGAAGCATGCTATTGTCGAGTATATCAACGCACGTCATAACATTTAGATTTCCCATGACGGGGAGTAAGAGTTCTAGCCCAAAATACACAATTACCCACAAAAAGCCCTGGACAGGATGCTCACATACATTTGTTTTTTGCTTGTTGGAATCGATTCTACGTTCGGCAGAATCAATTTGACCTCCCCAAGAAGAAGGAGGAGGACATGAGGGGGGGTGGGGGGGGGGTGATTATTGAGGGGAAGTGGTGTAAAAACAAAAAAAGGAAATGATGGATTCAGCAGGGTCAGCAGGCCAGTGCCAAGGAGAGGAAGGAAAGCGTTCCACTTGGGTATTCTGGAGGTGCAAATCCCAATCAGCACGGCGGGCACACAGATGAGGTGCAGGTGGGGGGGTGTGGGGAGGGGGGGGCAGGGCTGACTGGGGAGAGAGAGACCTAGAGGTAGAGACACTGAGTCAGAGAGTGCGTGGGGGAGGGAGCGCGTGGGGGGACGTGGAAGCAAAGTGGATGAGGATGCTTATGAAATGCTTCCTTTAATAGATAACTAGGAAGACATGAAATATTCTTTGACAATAATCCCTGTCAAGGAGAACGTACGTGCGTCTACGTGCGTTTTCCAAGGTCAGTGAGACCAGTAAGATGCTTCCACTTCAGAATGTTAATCATCTCAGCCAAGTGTTTTCACCCACCTGTCAATCAAAGTAACAGGCTGCGCTGTTTTTTGGAGGTGACTGAAAAATAAGCTCTAATGTGTGTGTGAGCGTGCGTGCGTGCGTGCGCGCACCAGTATGTACCTCCCAGTGGGTCAGAAATCGAAATCCCAGCTAGCCGCCTCAACCTCCTTGTAGTAATTAACCGAGATTCACCGACTTTGCTTCATGCCGAATGGGAGGAGGCCACCGGCGTTATACACCAAGCGCAGGTCGCGGGCACGAGCCTCCACGCCGTCCACGCCCCCTTTACAGGCCCAGCGAGCAAGCTGAGAAGAAGCCTGACAAACGCAAAGAAAATCCCCAAATCATGAAGAATGAATGCTAAACAAATGAAAGCAAACTCATGCTGCTGTTACAAACGGGGTGAAGGGTGATGGACCTTGAATAGTTCAACATTGATGGAAAGGCTGGAGAAAGGATCTCATCTGGAGGTACTGTGCAATCTCTCTTTCACCAAATAGCCCCCTAAAGGTCCCTCAAGCGAGCAGCCTTTTCCTGGACTTAAAAAAACGTAGGTGGACAATCTCCATAAGCCTCAGCTCAAGTGCTTTTTAGTGCAGTGTTATTGCATATGCAGCTAAAATCACAAACGTTACGATTAAAAAAGCGGGGGGGGGCTGGGTATCAGTGTTCAAATTGAATCATCAGGGAGATACAGTAGTGGGGCCTTGAAAGCAGTACGGTCAATATCCCTGTTCTCTTAATAACCTGAAAAAATAATTACGCCGGATGCTGTTTAAAGCTACGGAGAAGCTACTTTTTATTTTACCAGGCCAGGTTTAGAGATAATGAAGCAAAACAGCTGACAAAAGAAGTACAGCGAGGTTGCCAAGAGGGAAGAGCTGAACTTAAAAGGAGTGTCTCTTGATGTGTTAAAGTGTCTCAGGGTCAACCAAGGCCACAAAAGGACCGAATACAGAATAAAAAAAGTATTTTCTTTGAGCTCCAATGATCGTCTACTCATTCAAGTCAATGAGAAGGTGTGTCCAAACTTTTGACTGGTGCTGCAGTTGAAAAAGCTAAAAATAAAGCACTATATCCACCTCCAGAAACATCGTCAACAAGCTGCAAAGTTGCACAGCACAACGTACATCACGCTGCTCATCCAAATGTTTTTTAACCCCATGGGGGATCCTTGGAACAGGCTTAGTAGCCGTGGTAATATTGACCCTCCTCAGGGCCCAACGCTGAGCAATTGACATTCAAAGAGTCCCAACCGATGTCCCGAGCTCAGGTGGTGTGTCCCCACCGCTGTGTGTGTGTGTGTGTGTGTGTGTGTGTGTGTGTGTGTGTGTGTGTGTGTGTGTGTGTGTGTGTGTGTGTGTGCGCTGACGTCTCATCAGGATCCGGTGCGTCTTCAGTCCACCTTTTCACCGTTGTGCCTGTGCGCCGGCCGCCGCGTCGGGAGGGATTATGTGTCAGTTTGCCCTTCTGTCTAAATGTCTGCCACTACCAGTAGGTGCCAAGTCAGTACATACATTACACTACATTCACTACATTTATGCTGTTTAGTCTTATTCAAACACAGACCACCATGTGTTTCCTCAACCAGTAGCTTCCGACGGCTGAACCCAATCAATCGATTCCCAATGACAACCTTGTAGCTGATTATGAAGCGTGTTGCGGGTACACAAACCTCCGCCCCAACGTATTCACTAGAACAACATACTCGTTCTGGGGACTGGTTGGGTTGACCTCATCTGCAAGATACATTCAACTGGATTCATGAATAATCCAGCGGGGGGAGATCTGAATGAGCCTGTAAATCCACCCCGTGATAATGAGTACCTGAGAGAGAAGAACCGCACTGTGATACTCTTTGATGAGCGTCTGCGTACATATTCATTACAAGGGCCTGAGTTCATATCTGACATAAATCATCTGGCCCTGGCTTATCCATACTAAATATGGACAAATGTTATGTGCACTGTTGGATTTAATGTAATCCAATATAGGGACACCATCATCCGAGTCAATATTCTGTGCCGGCCCCGGATCGCGTGTGATGAGTGTTTGCGTGTTTGCTATTTGGGTCTTGATGAAAACGGATGTATACTATTCGTCTATCTATCTATCTATTCGTCTATATACTATCTATTGTAGTGAAAGCACACTTTGTTATGGTTCAATAGGGAATTCAATTAGAAATAAATGGATTCAGGGCGTTGACCCTTTAAAAAACGTCCGCTAACAGAGGACCCCGTCCCCCCTGACCCCCTCCTAGCAATAATCTAGATCAGGTGACCTTTGCTATAATTAGATCATTCCAATTTACAGCTGCATACATGGTGAAAGGAGACACTTGGAATGCGTTGATAGAGGTTCATTTCTTGTGATGGAGATAGAAAGGAGAGGGGGGGGAGGCAGACGGTGGTTGGAACGCTCCGGTTTCAGGTAAAAGAGTCTTCAGTGGTTCCACCGGGATGATGAAATGTTTAATTATGGTCAATTAGGAAAGAGGATACATTTAACTTTGATTGGATCTTAAGAAGGAATGTAATTGAAATACTTTTTTGCGCTGTTTAAAGTGCCTCAAAATTAAAAATATTAATAAATGGATCACATTATTAGTTGTGCTCGAATCAAAAAGAGGAAGAACTTGATGAATCTCGGCTCCAGTGTTTCTGCACATGCAGCTAAATCCACTGAATATCAAAGTAGTATCAAAACGAATCCACGGAAACACGACATGAATTCAATACTTTCTCCTCAGATCTACAACAAAATGAGTATATTTCACAAGCGTTTGCAATTCCATGTGATTGGCCAACTAGTCTGTGGTGTGGTTAAATTGAATGTAGTATCCAGGAATGTTTTAATAATTTGAATACGATGAAGTAAATAATTCGACTGGGAGCACATGTGGCTTCCATTTAGATGACGTGTGTCGAATCATGTAGAGAGAAGCAGAAAAAGAGGCCGATGTTGTGTATTTTCTTGCTTCATGGTTTTCCTTTGGAATGAGAAGAGTGCACAAGATCAGAGGTGATCTAACCGCTCCATTTATATAGAACATTTCATCCTTTTATTTATTCATTGTAGCTTTTTTCCCTTGGGCTGCATTCAAAGCCTCAACGACAGACGTTGTACTCAGACTTGAGGAGGCCTTCAGGGGCCTCTGATTGTATCCATCACAAACCTATTTGTCCTGTGAGTTCTTTGATTGAAACATCTTGTGGAGAGCAGAGCTTCACAGGAAGTTCAGATCGTGTCACAGACAGTCGGATTGTTGTGAGTCTTTGGTTGCACCTCGTGACACTTTTGTCCTTGTGCGGTCTCACATCCACTTCAAAGCGTCTTCGTGTCGGTGCGTCCAACAGGTGAAGTGTTCGCAAAGTGATATATTTCCTCCGTGGCTGGTGTCTGTTGAGTCGGCTACCTGTCGCTGTCTCTGTACGAGTATTCAACAACGTTTGCATTATTTTCTTTTCACGCCGCACTGTTCCTTTTTTCGTGCAGATAAAATGGATAACGGTGACGTGTACCAGAGGAGGAGAGGACCTCAATCGGCCGGCTCGGATGGGCAGGAAACAGGAAGTAAACAACAGGAAGGCGTCGGCCAGGCGACCAGCAGCTGGCGACGAATCGTTCTCCTCATCCTCGCCATCACCATCCACAACATCCCAGGTGAGGGCGAGGCCACGCGGCGGGATCAAGTAGCTGCTGATGAGCAAAGTTGTCAATTGAACCCATTGAAAGGGAATTCTTATCATCCCCTTTTGGTGCGTTCACACCAAAAGCGAAGCGAATTATTATTATACAGGTAGATTCCATGTAAAGTCAATGCACAGACGCGTCTGGTCGCGGATGAAGCAACAGACGCGGCGCTTGGGACGCGAAAAAGCGAAACGAGCGAAGCGAAAAAATAGCTCTTTCGCCCCAAAGTTGAAATAGTCGCCCGACGCCGTCTAGCGAACGCCAATCAGCGTTGAGATGCTCCGCTCGTCATCACCGCCGTCCTGCTGCCAAAGCGTGAATACACGTTATTAAAGTTAGTTTGTGTGCAACCGAGAGACGCACCGGTCCGACACAACAGGTCATCAGACCGGCCACTGGTCCAGAAACTGTGGTTATTTATTGCCATGGTGGATACAATAACTGTCTTTACGGAGACACGTTACAGAGATAAGCCACGCCCCCTTCCAGGCGTGAATGAAGCGGAAAAAAATGGGACGCGCATAAAGCGAAATAACGCAAGTAAAGCGGGGCGAAAATTTGCTTTGCTTTTGGTGTGAACGCACCATTAGATTTAAAGGGCCAGTGTGCAGAAATTGCCAGCGTCTAATGGTGAGGCTTTGTTACAGAAATGATTCCAAGATGAGTTCTCTGAATTATGTTGCGGATCCTTTTGTCTTTTTGCGCCTCCACTCAGTAGATGAAGAATGACGAGTAACATCTTCTGATGAGTACGTTCTCAAAAGGTTGTAGCCTATGACTGTAAACTCGCACAACAGAAAAGAATGTGAATCATGGACGAAGAAGATCATGTTGCTCATGTTTTCCATTTATAATATTACAAATATATAATGTTGCTACTTAAACTTTGGCACTACTTTTACCAATATTGTCACCAACCAATAATATCCCAACAATTAATGAGGTAAACGACCGCCAGCCGCCCAGTCGGCGCTCTGTGGAGACTAATGAGCTAGAACAACTAATGCCGGGTCAATCAGACATCAGACGCCCACACAGGAGCGTCGTTCGTTAACACAACACATTTGAGTCTAGTGGTAAAGACAATTCGATTCATATTTTTTTTTTTAAGGAAAAAAACTGGGAAGCAATTAACAGGGTGGTGATTTCTCGGAGCGATCGGCGCAGGGTGAGAATTTGCCTGCGATCCAGTTGCGGAGTGTGAACTAGTCGTTCAGCTGACGTGGGAATTGGTTTTGTCTCCAACTCAGACGGTGTATGTGAGCTTGGCAAAAAATCTTTGTTGGATTTAAAGTTCAAACCGTATTCCCTTCTGCTTTTCAATGTTTTTTAATCTCACGTCTTTTGTTTCATCTTTGTGGGAAACAATGTTTCATCGTATTTAACACACTATGGCTTTGGCTCAGCTTTTGCAACAGAACATCTACGTAAAACGTTTATTTGTTCCAAAAGTCCCAAACGCTTTTCTCTTTAGAATGTGAAATGCTGTCAACTCATCGTCACGAGACCGTCTCATTAGTGCTTCTCATTTAGACCACTGAATACAATAAAAGCATCACGTGTTTGCAGCAACAAAGAGTACGCAACTCTAATGAGTGTTGAAATTGAATTATTTTCAAGCTTTCTTAGAGATTTTGAATGCTAAATAAATTCGTATAAGGGATCCATAAGATTCAGCTCCATGGAATCCAATGAAATGCTACCAAGGCACGCCAGATTCTCAAGCCTTTAAATGATGCAGCCTTTGAGGAAATGACTGCGTCTTCTACTCGGCTACATTCACATGACGTTTGATCAAATCAGTGTATAATGTGTCACGAGCATTGAGCTATGGAGATTATCGATTACACACATCATGGTACAGCCCTCGTGGTTACAGACAAAATGCAGTTCACTAGTTTGAATGATTTCTACTTCCTTTAATTCTGTGAGTAACAGCTCATTCTGTTCATACGGGGGGGGGGGGGGGGGGGTACCTTTTTAATAATAAAAAGGTACCCTTTTCCCACACGTTGGCATGGCGTGGGAACCGTCCTTCTGTATTTCTCACTCCCCGAGAGCAGAGGGATCTGAAGGGCTTCCTCACGCTGCCGTCATGCAGTTTACCATCAGCTGGAGGCGGCTTTTAGTGGCTGCACCCCGTGACGAGGCCGACGGAAGAGCTCTGTTTTACATGGAAGCCAGTGTTCGACTTTAACACTCGCTCTTATAATCGCTTCTTGAAGAGACAAATGGGCCGTCAAGTGAGTGCTTTTTCTCCCCTGAGTGCAATTTCTTTTATTCTTTTACACCTTCGGGCGTGCGAATACGAGCCGAGAGCCCGTCAGTCTAAGTGCATTGTTCTCTACCGCCTGATCTCTGCTGCTGCGTTGTAGCAATTTACCGGTCTTCAGAGAGCCTCGGCCCCCCCGAGGAGAGAGAACCGCCCCACAAAGTTGTGTGTCCAGCCCAGACCCAGCAGGAGATTGATTGCTGTGCCGGGGCCCTGTTAGCGTGATCGATGGAGCGAGCTCGCTTGACAGCTAAAGCCACGAGTTGCTCCGGGCCGAATAAGAGAAACATCTGTGTTATCGGATTACTGGGAGAGAGAGTGAGAGATCATCCAGAGCCGAAGCGTGTTGAAGGGAGACTGTAATAAGCCTTTTTTATTTGCTTTCATATTCTGATATTCTTTTGTTGGCAAAATCATTTTTCTCTGACCAGGCGGCGGTGTTACGAATACCTACTAGCAAAATGCAAATAACACAAGAGTTGAAGCAGAAGACATTATGGTCGCTAAGTGAGGACTTCCAGCAAATTGTATCTCCTTATTTTATGATGCAGGTTATTGTGCATTTTAAAAGCGGAGACCTTTAGACGGCGGGGCATAGACAGCGCTGAAAGGCTACGTTGACGTGCGGAGGAGACATCTCGCCGATGGGAGAATGGACCGAACCTGCGCAGCATAGAAGGGGGAGAAAAAGGAGCGCGAGCTGCGAGAGAGGAGGCGCGGCGGTGGCGGGCTCAGTGGAATGAAAGCGGCGAGGAGGCGAGGTTAAAAGAGAGTACGGTGGAGCGGAGCGGCCGCTGTCACACAGGGCTGCCAGCGGCACGACCATCCTGCCCGCTGAAAAGGGCACGCGGCGTTAAGTAGGGTTAGCAGCCCCGCAGGCACAGACACACACACACAGACACACACACAACCTCTACCAAGTGTAGAAAAACTAAAGATGGAGAGGTGCTCACGTGAACATTTTGACTCAATGATGAATCACATCTTTAGGAACCATCTCAACAGAGTATCCACCGCTCGCCCATTTCAACTTTTAATGCAGGAGCTTTTTAATAAAAAGCCTTGAAGGTATGGTTTCTATTTAGTTTTTTAAATGACCCCAGCACATTCCAAGCATGATAACGCTTCGGTGAGGTGCTCGACCTTCCCTCGGAATAGATTCTCCAAATCTCTACTGGCTGAACACCATCTGAAATGTATTTGTTTGGCGGGTGGGAGCGTTGCCGCTCACTGATCTGGTGGCTCTCACAATCACAGCGTGGGGTTCACATCATCTCCATGATCATTTCCCTGGACATGAAAGATCAGGAGATCCCCAAAGCAATTGAATATGGAAGCACCGTGGATTTCATCAGCAGCTAGACGGCAATCCGTCCAGCCACCGTTGAGATGTCGCACTAAAACAAACAAACATTTCAACCAGGTGGTGGGGACAGAGAAGAGGTCATGGGATTGCCAAAGACTTCCGGGTTCACCCTCTGGGCGCCCTGCATGTACAGCAGCTAATGCCAATCCACCCAAGTCGTGGTGAAGCCGTACACTAAAGTGTGTGTGTGAAGAGACAACTAACAAAAGTGGACGGGTGTGGCGGCCTCCTGGTCTTCCAGCTCAGTGGACTGCAACAAAAATATAAATTGCCGACACCACTAGTGTGAGTCCGTAAAATGCAGATCTGAAAACATATTCCATATCACCAAGTGTCTTTCAAAGCCTTGAATTTATTTATTTATTCTTTTCAAAGCAGGTTCAATGGTGGTACATTGTGCGTCAAACTCAAACTCTGACAGGTGGCATCTTGGAGTGAAAGCATGAAAAAACTGCCCGTGCTACAATTTAGACACAGAGAGAGAAACGACAATAATATCAATAATATTCTAATATTCACAGAACATTCAATATTCATGAGAGTGTAACGATATACATTTTTTCCACGTTTCCAGCTGTGGAGCGGTACCACAGGTGAGCAGCTGTTGTCGGTTAAAAATAGGACTACTTTGATGCGTGACCCGGATGAACATTCAGTGAGAAAACTCCTTGTGGAGGTCTTGTGTCTTTTAATCAGCTAAAACCTTCTCGTGGGGCTCCCGAGCCTTGTACCAGCTGTGCCAGACGGAAAACACCGACTCCCTCTCGGCTCGCGTTTTATTCATGAGCAGCTGAAGGTTTTTCAGCGCAGATAGAGTTTCTACCGCGCGCCGCCCCCCCATCCTCTTCCCCCCCCCCGCCATCACAGACAGTGCCACGGGATTGAGATGAATATTGTAAAGGGGACACGCAGTGTAACTGAAGGGTGTTTTTGCCCATGATGTAGTCTGTCTGCTTAGTTTTTATGTTGCTGTGTGTTATCGGCGGTTATGGCGGCCGTTAGATTAGGAGGAAGCGCTCTGGGGGCTTTTGAAGTCTGCAGCTGCCATCTGGATCGATTTTCCTCGGCATTTTCTCTCTGCGCTTTCTTTCATCTGTTTTGCTTCATCCTAATTCTCTCATTTGCTCCTAACCTTATCTCTACATTTGCCTTTTTGCTGAGGACAGAAGGCAATAGACCTGGATTCATATGGCAGGAAGGGAGAGAGAGAGAGAGAGATGTAATACGACCGAGAATCCACAGAAAAGTGCTGAAAGAGATCAGTCGTTCTATCATAAAGACAACATGTGCATTTCTACCATGTGATATACACACTATGGAGGCTTAAAAGTTCCACTATTTCTGAACTCCATTCACAAAGGAAAAGAGGAATAGTTTGAGGAAAAAGACAAAGTTTGTGGATGTTGTAAAGAGGCTTTTAAACCGAGACTTAATTGGGCTGACGCCATTAGACCCTCCAGCACCACGACTCACATAACTCCTTTTAATATTCATCAGTCACTTGACCACACAACGCACTCTCTAACCCTCACATCAAAGCACAATATAACTCATTTTAATCACTTTTAAAGCCGGTGACAAACACCAGGGACAAACGCCAGAGGTTGAGTTGTCATTTAAATGAAATCTTGAGTGTGTGTGATGAATCCATGCCAAATTGCCTCTAAATTTACCACATGGCCTTTTGCACACGAGCAATGTAGAATTGTAAAAAGCACATTGTGCTGCCGCCACAAATAAGGAGCCGGGGGACTTCTCGGGAAGCCCGTCGTCCACCAGCGGCTCATCCCCCGGCATAAAGAATACAGCGGAATCCCTGACCACCTCCATGGCAGCAATTCTTCTCCAGGAAGTGGTTAGCATTTTCGCTAACCTAGATGGCTTTTAGGTTGTCTGTCAAATATAAAATATGTCAGTAAATATGCCACACAGGAAGCTTTTAAACTTCTCAAAAAGGTGGTCGCTGACGAGCGGCTACATGAATCTACAAAGTGTCTTACGGCTGCTTTAGAAGGTCACATATTCTGATGTTAATCTCAGTTAGCATGCTAATGGAAACTACAGTTTTAGAAGATAAGCTCCTGGTTCATGGAAACGTTTAGACGATTAATGGGCCTCTTCCAGCCTCTGGAATTGTGTTAATTCCAGAGGCTGAGGATTAAACCACTCATCTATCAGTGGCACCTTCCTGCGTGCTGTTGTGTGTCAGAAATTAGCATGTTTTAGCATTTTAATAACCCACCGTGGCTGTCAGCGGCATGACCGGACACGGCTGCTTGTCAGCACCCACAGCAGACGTCTCTCTGACTTTTTGGCGTGAAATGAAATACGGGCCGCAGATCTGGCTGCATGTGCAAACACTCGTAGCTCTCAAACACAGGATTACACGCGTACCGTAGATACATCGAGCGCGGTGGCCTTTGGACATTCAATTGAGGCGGGTTGGTGGTCACCATGTACAGAGCATGCAAAGAGGGATCAGAGCTGCGTACTGTAAGATCCCTCCGACCGCAGCGCTTCTGTTGTACCACTCTTGTCAAATTTATCCTCAGTTATGGATCCGTACTTCAGCAAATATGTTTTTGTTCCGTAGTCCTCGAGGGAGGCTTCAGGCTTCTACTAAAGAAGTGTTCATGAGTCGGAACCCGCTTTTTAATGCAGAACAAATAAGAGAATACGGCGCATTCCTCTGAGATCCATGCAGGCTGTTGCTGTCGGACGATCACAACTTAAATCATCCATTCAATCCAAACATAACATCAACAACATTAATCTAAAGTCCCCCCCAACCTTACAATTAATTAATATCACCTCCTCAAAAAAATGAATATTCACACATGTAGAATAATAGCACAGGCTGACAAAACATCATCCGTACCATCAAGAAAATGAGTTTGACTTATCCATCACTCCTGATGCTGCCGTTTGGACTCAGATCTGCAATAATATCTACTACTTCATGACCAGTAATGTAAATTTGCAATTAATACAGTATAAAATTACAGAATTCATTACACTGGGAAAAAACTGTTTAAAATGGGACTCACGTCAGACATCTGTTCACACTGCACTCAAAATAGCCCGGATGAATCTACATTCATGCCGCTGCACACCAGTTCAACACTTTTGGGTAAAAATAATGGGCTGCCCCGTCTCATTATCTCCCTCCCTATGCGTACTAGGAGACATTTCAACAATAAACCTGTGCAAAACAAACCACTGATTACTCCTTGTGGCCATAACTATCGGCAAGAAAACTGTGTGATGCAACAAACTAAAGCCTTCGTGTTATGTGAACTTAATCTTTTTGTATCTTTAAACCCAGTTTCCACCCCTTTTCTTCATGTTGACTTACTTATTTACTGTGCACACTTCACCAGCTTGGTTCCTTCCTCTTCATAAACTGCTTGTTTTTTCCCTTTGTAACGGAGTGTTTCCGTGAAGGTTCAATTGCCTCTGCTTCTCCCTGCAGAGGGTTTGGCGGTGGGGGTTGGATTTGGAGCCATTGGAAAGACTTCATCGGCTACTTTTGAAAGCGCCAGGTAAGATTAGTATCGAGGGGAAGAAACATACAGTGAATGAATTGTCATTTTTGAATATGGAAAAAACATTTCCTGTCATTCTGTACAGCAAAGCCGCTTGACCCCACCAAGATGACCCGTATAGCCGCGCTGTAATTGGTTTCCCAAACCGTGGAGATTTAGCGGTCGTTGGTTTATGAAATGTGTTTTTGTTTTATGAGGTTTATGAACCTGTAAATAGTTAAGTGCACGTATGTAGTCAATAGGGTTGAGATTTGGTAATGGTTTGGTGTGATGGAGGTTTGTGTACCCTGATCTGTGCTGGTGTGACGTGCATGTGGCATCTAGTGGCCACATTGTGGTACTACAGAAAGAAGTGCACGTGAAAGTCTGTTTCACGTTTGTTTGCGTTCTCGGCCAATGTGACCCGACTGCATCTGATCATGACGGGCTGCTCTCCTTATGGACCCCTTAGAGAGAATCAAAGTGAGCAGCGTTATCATTTGAACAAAAAAGGAAACATTGCAATAAAAAGTAATTTGTTCTCCAAACTTGGATGTTTGGAGAACAAAATTGAAGGCATTCATTTAAAATACAAAAACGTAAAATATTCTTTGCATTATATGAATCAGTCAGATGTGAGATATGACGCCGCTGGACAAGCCCTGCGTCCCCCCAGGAAAGATCTGGGTCTCACCTCGTTGGCGTTCTCGTGCGCAAACAGCCGCCGTAACGTTTCAGAGGTGCCCGCGGTGCGTTTACGCGATGCCCCCTAGATTGTGGCGACGGCGAGAGACGTGGTCTCTCTAGCCGTCCAGCGCTGGTGTGGCGCGGAGTCAGGAGTAGCTTTGCAGGGAGCTGAGTGCACAGTTAAATATTCAGAAGGGCCAAACCCACCGAGGCCCCGCTGAGGCTCCTGGGATCAACCCGAGGGTTGTACATCTCAAAATACCTTGAAGACATGTGTAAGTCAAAAGCCCCCACCTCTCTTCTTCTTCTTCTTCTTCGTCCTCCTCTTTTAGCCGCTTCCCAACCCTCTCAAAGTGCTTAAAAAAGGACAAAGCATTTTGAGGGGGTTGGGAAGGGGACCAACCTGTCGATTCCAAAACCGCCCCAGTGTTCCGCCTTAAACAGCGCCGCTGAGTACTTCCACTGCGTTCCACTAATCGCCACTCTGAGGGTTCTGAGGGTATTTTCTTCTTCGCTGTCTGTGAGACGAGCAAAGGACAATGTCCCCAAAAACATCAACAAAGGAATGGGTTAGGGTTGCTGTTTGTCATGAAGAAGAACGGTCTGACCACTTAATATTTTCTTTATGGTCCCCTCAGAAATTTGGCCATCGGTATCGGCATCCAGAATTTCCCAGAAGGCCTGGCGGTGAGCCTGCCGCTCCGGGGAGCGGGCATGTCGACATGGAGAGCCTTCTGGTAAGGGGGAACGCGTGTCGAACACTTTTTTTGTGGAGATATTTTTTTCGGAAACTGGAGTCAGCGGGCCGTTTCAAACCGACTACACCTCCCCACCCATTTCTGTCTCCCACCAGGTATGGCCAGCTGAGCGGCATGGTGGAGCCCATCGCTGGGTTGCTAGGCGCCGCCGCCGTCGTCCTGGCAGAACCGCTCCTGCCATACGCATTGGCATTCGCCGCCGGGGCCATGGTGTACGTGGTGGTTGATGACATCATACCCGAGGCTCAGCTCAGGTGAGAGGGGAAGACAGGCGGGTCAAAGAGCCAATCACATATGAGCATTGATGTCAAACTAATCGGTCTGATTTTTCGCTCCAACTCTGTGTTGCCAGTGGCAACGGGAAGCTGGCATCCTGGACGTCCATCCTGGGCTTCGTTGTGATGATGTCACTGGACGTCGGGCTGGGCTGACGTCGCGGTGACAACGGAACGCTCGACGGCCGTGATGTCGGTGCTGTGCTGCTGACGTTACTTTTTAAAAAGGGGCCCAAACAAAGTGTTTTATTGTGAAACACTGTCCGGTTAGTTTGAATTATTGCTACTTGAAAATGAAGACAGAAACACACTGTTTAGTAAAGCCAGATGTGAGGATGTTGAAATGTGTTTTTTTTTTTTTTTTCCATATCCAATTTAGGAATGAATGTATGACTATTTAATGAAGATCCTCTTGGTTCCAAAGTTTGTAAATGTTTTGATGAGGGAATACGGCTTTTTGAAGTTCTTTTCATTTAGTCATAAACGTGAAATGATTCTTTCTTTGTGAACATCTTTTGTGTACTCATCGTACATCGTTTTTGTATTCATGATGGCGATACTTGATGTGTGGTTGATTTGATTTATGGGATTGCTAAACAAATGATTTGATATTCTCCTTACACTATTTTTTGTGTGTCTACACAATGAGTCTCATTAGGATTAAAGTAACTTGTTTACTTGTTAAAAGTTACTTTGATATCCTCGCAGTGCCTTCTTCTTGCAATAATCTACTGCCCCCCACTGGCCAGTGTGAGGAGGCACATGTCTAATTATTTAAATGCTGAAGTTAATGCTAAATAACATGAGAAGTTTCTACATAATTAAACAACCAAAAGTGATTCTCTCTTTTGTCTCTGTTGTTGATGCATGCAGCAGAACTAACAAGAACAGAAGAGGTTGACCTAAAAAAAAAGTCAAATATTGCATGTGTTTTGTTGAACGTTATGAATGTTAGAAGTCTACGACCCGGAGAGGGTTATGCATGCTGACCCTGAACCGGTAGTTTGCTCAGCACAAACGGCTCTTCTGAAGCAACCGACTTGTGATGAACTTGTGACGAAGAAGAACTGCAGCTCCGGGAAGCGTCCTGCGATCGCCACGGGGGGAGTGCTAAGAATAAGACACGGCGACTGAGACACACACATTTAATGCTCCCACTGACGGAATCTAAAACAAACGTGGTTCACTGAGTCACACAGTTAAATAACAATGAATTCACAGCGGGGGGCCTTGGGCTCGGCGGGCCACGGGAGCGTGACGGGGGCCGGCCTGTGTTGTAGGAAGTTGATGAGACGCGTCGGCAGGTCCAGCTTGTCGATTCGGTGGATCCTGTTGATCTTTTTGAGGTATCTTCGGACGGAGAGTCGGCACTGTGAAGTCAAGGCCTTTGGATTCCCTGAGGACGACAGGAGGAGAGTCAGAACACAAACACCGCCATCATGAAGGAGGATTTGTTAGATGATCTGCTTTAGTGTGTCCTTAAACAAATTCCCCCATAGTCTGTGTCGGTTTAAACAGAGCAGATCTGCAAAAGAGTTATTCTTATTATTCATGCGCACGTTCAGGGGCTAATGTGCAAATGGATCCTGCGTCGCAGTGGTCAAGGGCGATGTGTGCCTGATTAATGAGGGATTCATCCGTAGATTTCATTATCAGAGGAAGACGGCATTGCCCGTGTCTTGTGGTTGTAATTTGGTCCTTAATTTCCAACTCCCCGGGTGTCCCACAGGTAAACAGCTCTCAGGAGGACTCATTTCAGAACCCCCCCTTCTCCCTTTGCCATAATTTTGATTAAAGTCTCCCAGAAATAGCCACACAAGCTGGCCCCATTTATGAAAGCGACATGATTTAAACACAGTGAATAATTCGGTCATTATCTAGTTCCAAAACATCCTGGTCCATTTATGTGCACTTGTTTTCCTTTCATCACATCGGTTGTCCAGGTTACTTTTTGCTGCGAGTTAAAAACAAACTTCCAACCACATTCTATTGCCCTTCCTTGGAAACTTTTCACAAAATGACATTAAACATAAAAGCAGGTATTTTATTACCACATTTAAGCCTGGCGATCGTGTGCAACCACTGCAGTCAGTACGCAGAGACCACTCACTCCGAGGCCCACTAACCCAATGCTGCCATGTAAAACAACGTGCCGCACCTCTTTCCTCCAGAAGCAGCTCCACGGCTTCGTTCTGCTTCGTGGACTTCTCGATGATCAGCGTGGGGAGGTAGACGTTGGCGCCAAAGTCGATCAGGAGCTGGATGTACTCCACGCCGCAGCCGTGCCTCAGGCACATCTCCAGCACCGTTTTGGGCTGCTTGATGGAACCCAGCAGCTTTGCGTCCGTGCAGTTGTAATCCGGGTCGGCCCCATACAGGAGCAGCAGCTTGAAGCACTCCATGTGTCCGTAAACGGCGGCCAGGTACAGCGGCCCGCTGGACACCCTGGCGCTGGAAGTCCACAGTAAGACCTTGGAGCGGGAGTTCACCTCGGCGCCGCGTCGCAGCAGCTCCTTCAGTATCTCCACGTCGCCCTCCCGAGCGGCGGTGAGGACCGGGGAGCAGTTGTTGGACGCGTTCCCGTTGGGGTTGGCGCCAGCCCTGAGGAGCGCTAAGACGCAGTCCAGGTATTTGCCGCGCACGGCCGCGAACAGAGGGGTTTGGGCCTTGACATCCACGCAGTCTACCAGGGCGCCGTGGCCCAGCAGCACCTGCAGACAGCTGAGGTGGCCTTTGGACACGGCGGCGTGCAGGGGCGTGCCGGCGATCCCCCAGCCGCCTCTGCAGTTGATGACCTTCTTGTAGACTTCTTGGCAGAGCATCTCATCGAGGAGTCGGTCATCGTTTTGTAGAACCGCTTGTCTGAGCTGGGCGATCTCACAGCTGCTTCGTTCTTCTGCAGAGGTCCTGAGTCGCAGCATAGAACCTGCTGGAAACCGGAGAGGAGAATGAACGAGGCGCCCAAAACATCCGTCAACGTGAAGGCTGGATTTAAGACACGTGCAGCAACTCTGGAGCCATTTGCTCCGTAAAAATCTATCAGAGCAGGAATGAGGCGGATGCAGATTTGAGGGTTTAGGCCCAATCCCCATCAGATGATGACCCGGACGCCGTTGCAATGCGACGTTAAAAACGTTATATCCAGTGTATGAAGACATAAAAAAGACGGACGGCACACTGAGATCAGCCCCTCGGATTGCATTTACACACAAACATTAAGATTAAGATGTTTTACCATATTTACTCATATATTCATTGAAGCTACTTTGATAAGCACCTACTGGACGACGCTAGTTAAGCCCCTGGGGGCCACGGGTTTGGGGACTGCGGTCATGTGGACCACATTTAAAAATGAAATGTGCCTCTATTTAAGGTGTTACGGTAAAAGGGCTTACAGCCTTAAAGGCACTAATCACCTATTTGTAAAGTGTCATATCCAAATCTTTGAACTGTCTTTAAACCAGATCCAAAAATGCTAACTCTGCTTTCACTTGATCCTAGTTCATGTTGACCTCCTCTATGCTCATATACATTTCTATGAAATATTACTAATAAACGGAAGGTCTTCTACATTCTGATAGAAGATTATAAAAATATAACGCATACTTGCTAGAAATGCCATCGAAATGCCTACAAAGGCTGATGCTTTCTTAAAATATTGTGTTTTTCACAGATAATAGACGTGTTGTGTTTTATTTGAGCTGAATGTTTCCTTTAGTTATTCACATCACTCTTACTACTATATCGTACTGTATGTGTTTATATTTTCCATCCTATTGTTATTTGCTTTTTATTTTTAAATTTAAATTTTATTTTTTTATAATTTAATTGGGGATTAATACATTTAATAATAATACATTTTATCTTAGTTTAACGCACTGCTCCTTTTTTTATCTGCATCCAAACTCCGCCATCCGTTACGGTCGTTGCTCAATGGCAATTGCCTAAAGGCCGGCGCATGCGTCTGCGTCGTTGCGTCGACGCACTCGTTTCAATCCATGCTTCTAAAAGTCTTGCGTGTGTTGCAGAGCAACTCACCGCCAGAACAACAGGCGGAGTAACATGTTTTTGTTGAAGACGACCTAGAGAGTCGCGTCTATTTCTTTATTTGTTTATTTATTTATGTATCATAGACTTTATTGCCCCGTGCATCGACACTGCTGCTTTTCATCGCGGACACATTTGTCCCGTATTTTCCTCCACAATCTTTCCGGCCATCTACTAAGGCGCCGTGGGATTAAACAACGCCGACAGTCAGGCACCTCTAGCAGCGTCACCGCTGCAGCAGCAGCAGCAGGTAACTCCAGCTCTGCAGACACCTCAGGCCTCGCCAGCACGAAACTCAACATCACAGTAACAATTGCCAAGTTTATCTGTAAAGACATGCGACCCTACAATGTGGTTGAAAATCCGGGGTTCTGTGAATTGATCCAAACATTGTGTAATTATTGTGTAATGTTTACATTGAAAATGGTTGCACTTTATTCAAATAAAAGGTTGATACATTTGCCATTAGTTGTTGTTTGCTTGTTTATAATATCCATAATTAATTTAAACCTGATTTCCTTACAAGAATCAACACGGATCTCAGAAACTTTGCCTGCACTGTCCAGTAAAGTTACTGAATCGATTTCAAGTCACTGAATCAAATCGTTTTAAATTAACCCAGATCGTCCATGAATCGCGATTCGAATCGAATCGTTAAAATGAATCGTTACACCCCTACAAGGAAAGCATCTCACATAAGCTGAGCGAGACTCAACAACATCTCATCAGCGAGGAAGAGAAATTCAAAGATCTGGAAACAAGAATCTGTAAAGAACTGAACTACAAACAAGACATCTACGAGACCAGAATAGCAGCACTATACTCCGACAACATTGCTCTGGACAAGAAGGCAGAATACAAACTGCTAAAGGACTGGAGGAATAGTATGCATAGTACAAACAGTATGAATAGTATGTATCCCTCATAGTCAACCTACACGAACAGATGAATGTGATGACCGAAGAAAATCAGATTGTGATCACAAATGGTTGGGGATCGGGGGACAGGGTCTGGGCCAACATCGGCGTCAGGGGGGTCGAGGCACATTATGTAGCACAGCACATGCCAGCACGATTTTGCACACCTTTTCAGGAGTAGACAATAACCTCCCTCCAGTGCAGTCGAGGCAGCGCCATCTGCCCTTAAACAGGCCGATGGTGCGCTGCACTACAGCGCGAATCCTTCCATTTGCCACATCTTCTAAGAGCGCAAGATCAGCCATTTCGCGTCATTGCGCATTGTGATGGCATCATGGCATTTTATTACCGTCCATTTGATTGATCTGACAAGCAACAGCTGTGTTTTGAGGATGAATTGCATAACATGCCAATATTATTGCAGAACATATTTCACTTTTCTTTTTGAAAATGTGTTAATTAGTATTTGTTTGTTTTACGCTGCAGATCGATCAAACGGGAGAGGCAGTATTGGCATTTCTTTTACAACAGTCTAGTTTTACACACTTTACACACGTTTGCGTGTTTCTTGCATTTGCCGACGGTTCTCATTTCACCCGTTTTTGTGCGTACGCATGGGTCCGAGCTTGCGTGAAGGACCGCACATTTTTCCGTCAAGTTTGCTTTTTATAAATACCACATATTGCGTATACGCCTTCTTTTGTGCGTACGCAACATTTATAAATGAGGCCACTAAGAGGTCCGAAAAAGCTTCTGAGGTGTGGAGAGTATTTCTTCCACAGGACCTGGAGGACAATTTACGCTGAGCAGCACACCTTTTGACCTGTCCACAGTCTACTGAACTCTAAATGGACGGAAACATTCATCTGTGATGCAGGATTCGGATGTTTGAAAATTCTGAGCTTTGATTGAATCTAAAAATAAATGTCACACGCTTTGATATACTTTGAAATACTGCAGGTCAGGGTTAAGATATTTATTTCAAATGTTGCAGACCTAGGCGTACTAAAAAAAGGAAATAGATTTTAATAGACAAATAAAAGTTGTATTCAAGAAAAGAAAAAAACAGACCTGCCAGCCATTCACGACCCAGTCTCACACCAAAATGTGTAATAGCTACGTTGGTCCACAAGGGAAAACGTAGTATTGTCACAATTTGCCCCCAAAATTGTGACAATACTACGTTTTTATTGGCCTTTTCGTTCACATTGCCTTGCAACTAGGTCACGTGACTATCAAGTTTCCCTCAGCTAAAAAAACAACGACTGTCGGCCTATTCTCTGTGACAAACACAATATTTTAAGAACGCATCAGCCTTTGTAGGCATTTCGATGGCATTTCTAGCAAGTATGCGTTCTATTTTTATAATCTTCTATCAGAGAATGTAGAAGCCATTCCGCTTATTAGTAATATTTCATGGGAATATACATGAGCATAGAGGAGGTCAACATGAACTAGGATTAAGTGAAAGCAGAGTTACCATTTTTGGATCTGGTTTAAAGATAGTTCAAAGATTGGGATATGACACTTTACAAATAGGTGATTAGCCATAACTACGGCTTTACTTCAACGCCCTAGTGGCGAAGCACTGAATAGGATTTAATTATTGAATATTACCCCCAATGAAAAGTCAAAGCACATTTAATGATAATATTAGCTGTAGTACAACAAGAACAAGCCCATTGTATTGTATGTATGGCAGGACTTTGGTCCTGCTAACTTTATAAAAGAGTGACGCTATTGAATAATGTTTACATTAAGTACTCAAAATAATGAATCATTACAAATCAAAAGCACATTTCATTGAAATAACTACTGTAGTAGAGCTATAATGAGCCCACTTATATATAAAAATGATTTTGGTCTTGCTACCATTCATAACAGTGAAGGTATTGAATATTTATGTAATATTATTTTTACGCATTTTAATTGGCAGACGGTCCCTCCGTCTCGAAAGCGGCTGCACATTAAGACCAATATGATTCCTCCAGCTCGCTGAGCGGTCTGTTTTGGTGAAATTATTGTTAATAGCGGTTGTAGTTGGTTGTCAACATCACTACGGTTACAGAGAGGTGTCGTTTGTGTTTTAACAACGTTTCGCTGACGAGCTATTGAACCGTGAAGTCTGAATCTGTGAATATCTTGCTAACTTTACCGAACTATATAAATAACCTGGATAATGTGTGAACACGGTGCCGTGATGGGTGGAATAACCCGGATATAACGTGTTGTAACGTCACCGAATGAATGCCGAACTAACGGCCGGGAGCTTCGGTGTTTACTTGCTCTCCGCTCGGGGTAACGTTCACGGTAACGTCATGCTAACACCCAGCAGGAAGGGCTCAGGTGGTATTCAGCTAACGCGACCACCGAGACGAGCAGCGAGGTGTCACACTGCACACTGAGTCGGAACTCTCGCGGTATCCCATTGTGTTGAGTCGTGCCGACCCAAAGCGAGCGTCTCGGCCGTGTTTCCTATGTGTAATAATAACAATAACAGCGTACCTTCTAAGATGTGTCACCATCAGCTGCCCTCTCCATCTTCCTGTTTCTCCTTCTTCTTCCTCGTGGTGTTCTGTTATAACCCACTTTCACGTTCATGTCGCACTGGCCCCGCCATGTGTTCCCCCGCTGTAATAACATGGAGGAACAATTAGAATGTTGTGTGCAAAAAGTTTAATTGTATATATTTAATATCAGAAATGTACTAGTTTTTTTGGAATTCAGATTTCTTCAATAACCATCAAATAACCAAACTAGGAATTAAAGTTGATTTGACTAAATTCATTAAACATTTTTGCAATTAAGAATTGCAATAAAATCTCAAGAAGGAAACTGTAAATGTTAAAGCACAGGTAATATGTACAATGATTATTGATCACCGACATTTTATATATTGTTGAAGTCAGACTAGAGTTGGATTTAAATGCAAGAAAACATTACAACTTTTTTAGGAAAGAAAGTTACCACTATGACTCCCACTTGCTGAATCTGCTTCTCCTGTGAGGGAAGAGACTCCTCACAAAGAGAAATCCAATCGTATCCATGGCAATGGACCATACAATACTCAACTATGGTTGCCTTATTACTGACCTCAACTTTATCTGTTCCCTCTCCAGGCAACCTTTCTTTTAAAACCTTTGTTTGGTTAGTGATGAGCTCTTTGAGTGAGCTCTCGGTCAACGAGACAATGTTGAAGGGAGAAGTTTTGACCACCTAAAAAGAAAAGATCCCTCTATATTTCTATATTCCTAAAACCAAGAGAAAAACACAATTTGTACCCAAACAGCGCTGACGCTAGAATGCCTCGGTGGTCTCTGAGGCTGCTCTCTGTCAGGATCCGTAGCTGCGTGAGTCTGACTGTGTCTATTGAGCTGCCGGAGTTTACAACATGGTAATGAGCAGCGACGGCCTCCTCGGTCCACTTTGCTTCTATGGCCGTTGCTGAGAGACAAAGCAGAAGTCACTCAGGCGCTCACAGAGGGTTTGGAAGAGGCCTTTAAAACAGCCCCAGCAACATAACTCATGGTCCGTTTGTCAGACGAGGGGAGGTGGGGGTGAGGGGGGTTGAGTGGAAGGACGTTAGAGCATGGCAGAGCGATTGAGAGGACAACTTGGGATTTGTACAAGAGCACTATGGAAGGTCCCCGGAGAGTCTTGTCTAGCTGACGGAAGGAGGAAGAACAGATTAATCTGCATGATTTTTAATGAGTGACTTCTGCGATGCTTCAGTGGTGATTGTGGGCAAGGCTTTCCTTTCTTTCTTCTGAAGGATGTGATTTGCTCTATGCGATGACAGGTACACTTGTGCCACAAAGGCCGGCGCTGTGGATTCTTTGTGTGGTTTGGATCGCGGCCTCGGCAGGTGAGAAGCTTCTCTTTGAAATGAAACATGAAAAAAAAACAATGGTTTGGGTGAATGTGATTTTGCTCGCCTCAGCAGGCGGTTCAGAGTCATGTGAAGTCAGTCATAATGGACTGCTGCTATAGCTGTATTATTTCAGTGTAGATGTGTCACATGGTCATGACTGCAGAAGTTAAGGCTGGTTATGCAGGTGATGTGATATAAGTACAGCAACTCAATAGTCTCCATGAGACATTTTTTTTGTAGAAATACAAGACTGATTTATTCATTTCAATTTTTCAGGTTTCAGGTTTGTTTAAAGTTATTTTAATTCCTTGATGGGATGAACCTATTTGGTATTTCCACAAATAATAGCATATATTAGTCTAGCCATTTTTGTAGCACAAAATTCAGACTCCATTAAATCCAAAACTTGACTTCTTTTGCACTGTGTCACATAAGTAATTAACATTTGTGAGTTTTAGTTTTCCAGTGTTTAAACAGAAAGCATGGTGTATATCACAGTAGGCGGAACTGCTCTGACACCAGGTCTGTGTGCTCGTTGTCTTCCAGGGGACCTTCCTTGTCCAAAAGGTAGCCGGATCCACCTGGCCAGCCTGCGATGCTATTGGCTCTCTGAGAGGACATCTCTGTGGCCCGAGGCTCACGATTTATGCAGAAAGACTCCGGGAGGAGATCTGGCTTCTGCTGGTAGTCTCCAGCTGCTTAACTTCCTCCATTACTCCTTTCCAGTGTGAGTGCTGCACACAGACGTCTTTCTGTCTTCCTTCTATCGTTGCTTGTATCGCCTGATGTTCTCTTTGCTGTTTTGTGTTGGTTTAGGGAAACCACAGTGTGGATATGGCTGAAGAGAGAAGGGTCTGAGAATCAGGGGGGGTGTCCTCAGATGGCCCTGGGGACGCGGGGACAGTGGAGGGAGACTCAGTGCGTTGGACACCAACGCTTCCTCTGTGAAAAACAACTAACTGGTAAGACTTAATAGCCCCCGATATTTGATCCTCATGTGTGGCTCCTATTGTTAGAAAGGGGTCCTGAAAGTGCTAAGGGGTGATTTTAGTTCATGCGTCTTCATGCAGAGTCTCTACCTTCCGCGGACAGTTACCTGGCTGGATTGGCTCTAATGAGCGGCATCTATGCCCAGACCCACATACCGCTGTCCCCCAGCGTCCCAGACACCGGGCAGCTCTCAGTTGAGGTCAGTGAATGCTGGTGAAATGCTGTCTCCACACCAAAAGGATCGCGAGATCCACCTCAAGGGTTGCCAGATGTCTAACAGAAAAATAAAGAATAAAAGCAACACCGAATAATGTTACAATGATGATGTTGTTTCTACCGGAAATGTTTACTTCTTTGGGAAAGACATAAACACGTGGTGAAGGGTTACAAGTTGGCCTTGCTTGAAATAAGTTTTAGAAAAACCCATATATTGAGTCGGCTGTAACGTCTAAAGGGTAGCAGACGTCTTGTGATTGATAAAAGTGACCAAAAAAGGTTGGAAACCAAAGAAGGTTGGTTGAATATTAAATCTAAATTCTCCTTTGACACCCAAAGATGCAGCTATTCCCAGGGATTTGGTTCAGCCACGCAGGTCAGTTGATATCCGTGGAGCTGGTGGTCCAGCCCAGCCCGGCTTCCTCTCTGGCCCGGGTCCAGATCCTCCGACCCTACTGCAACCCCAACCAACACCTAGTGCCTCCGGGTACAGTACGACGGTCACTATGGGGGGAGTCCTGGGAGCACCGTCACCGCCGGTAACCGTCTCCTCCTCCTTTCTACCCAAGGTTGCAGCACTCTCCTCAACCCGTTCAGCTGCTGCTCGGCCCTACCACTGTGTAACACCACAGGGGGCTGCAGCGTGGGCCAGTACTGGTGCCACCTGCTGGAGGGCTGTGCGCCCCACACCAGTCCGTGCAGCTCCTACGACTCTGCAGCGGGGGCCCGCGGCTTCGCTTTACCACCCAGATACCTTGCGATACCCCCCTTTTACCACCTGGTTGCAGACCTGCCTCTTAGAATGAACCCGAGTTCTGAACTCAACAGTCTAAGTGTGAGTCCACCTGTAGCCGAGATGAACTTTTAACACAAAGTATGTAGATTCCTTACATTTTCCTGTTGCTTTTCTTTGGTAACAGCTGCTCCTTCCAGATGGAGCGATCACGGTCTACCCCGATGATGTCGTTGCAATACAGCACACTCGCGACCCTGGTACATTCCTACATTGCCTGAACAGTGAAGCCTCTTTAAACTCCTCCTGGCGCCAGAGTTACATGTCCCTGAGGAGGCCAGAGTGGGGAGGCTGGTGGGAGGGGGGCCTGACGTCTCTCCCCCAAGGGGGCCAGTGGGTGGACGGGGTGGTGTGTGATCTGAGAATGCTGTACGTGGACAATCTTCACAGAGCTGATGACAGCTTCGGGTTTGCTCACAAAGAGACGACGGCGGCCCCGGAGATCCGGGCCCTGACGACCGCTCCTACCCCAACATCTCAATTCGGCCTTCACGTCATCCATCCCGTGCCGGATGACAAGAACCAGATTCATTTCCAGATCAACGTCCCAACACTGATTGTTATCAAGGTCCTGCATGGAGGGAAGGCCAGCAGCTCATGGTCAGCTCCAGTTCTCCAGACTGGGGTCCCCTTCCTTTCATCTTGCCCAGAAGAGGTGGCTCAGTCTTGGGATGGCTGTAAGACAGAGTCTCCGGATGCCTGGTTCTCCTCTGCGACCCTAGTGTTGCCCTCAGTCGGGCTTCGAACGCTCAACATCAGTGTGAAAGATGCGGTGCGCTCGCAGACTGTAAGTGTGGGGATTTGTGGCTACGAGGCAGTGACGGGGCTCAGTGTCGAGCCACATGGATGCTGGAGGATGCTCTGCGACATTCCACAGGTGAGAATGCCAAATGAAATCAACAAAAAACACATTCTGCTTGTTGGAGCAACTGGTTGGTTCAGGCTAAAAAAATACCTCAAAAGCTAATGGATGGATTGCCATTGACAATACGTAAAGATTTTCATGGGCCACAAGGGAAGAATCCTTTCATCTATGGACACCAGGAGGTCAATCTATGACACATTATGTTCAATTCAATTCATTTTATTTTGTATAGCCCAAAATCGCAAATTACAAATTTGCCTCAGAGGGCTGGGTTAGTGAAAAATACCCACGTGTTCGAGAGGCATTGGCAAAGCATTTGTTATGAACATTCATGCTTCCTATGTCTTCATGATTTTGATGAGCAGGAGGTGGAAATTTGTATTTTTCAGTCAAATGTATTCATAACTAATGGGTGAATATCTTGAAAAGTTGGCACATATATTTGTGTTCTCGACATGATAATTTGTAATAATCTGGGTTTTCCTTTTGCTTTTCAATTTGTGCAATCATCAGGTCAAACCTTCTCCCTGTATATTATATACTTTCTATTCTATACTCTTACAAAGGGGGTATTTTGGGCTTGGGTTATGGTTTGCAAATGTTAGCATGCTAAGATGCTACACGCAGATAGGTAACACGGTAAGCCTTAGACGAGGTCAAAACTCCTGCAACTCGTAGTATAAAGAACAAATTATTTTGTAAGGCAAACCTGTTTTGACTTGTGGCTAATTTTAGCATTTTTATAGCTTGACACGAGTATTCAAGTATTTCTTTTTGACATTTTAGACTTTTACAGTCAAAGTGGAGAGTGGTTCCTCAGTGGAGTTCAAATGGGTGATCGACAACTTGGAGACGTTTTCCCATGAAGGACAATCTTACAGTGTGGTGTTCAAGAAGCCTGCTGGTTATAAGCTCAGGGTGAGACAGTGTATTGCTCTCTATGATGAGCTTTTTTGTTTAAATAGAGGATTTCTTGATGAACTACATTTAATAACAATCTGAGCCTCCACCCCCAAAACACAAGCAGTTATCTCTCTGCTAGGTGACAGCTTCCAACCCTGTGAGCTCCCAGAGCCAACAGGTCCTCCTGACAGCTGATGACCTCACCCCGCTGGCTGAGCCAGAGTTCCTGTTAGACAGCGCGGTCGTAGCTGTGGATGCTGCGCACAGCTACAGCGTGAGGGTCAAATTGCACGTCTCCCTGCCAGTCAGCATCAGGTAAGGCATTGCAGAGGCAATCCTAGGGATGGCATGCTTTACATCCTGGACTTCAAAACGACTACCAAGAGAAATGTAATTCTAAACTTCCACGCGGTGTATGTCACCTAGATGGGATTTTGGGGATGGCGGCAGAGAGGTGATCCACAACCACTCTGCTCCGTGTCAGAGCGCGGAGGGGCTTTCGAGAGGAGATATGCAAGTATATGTAAAGGACTCGGTGAACTATACCTATCCCATCCCAGGTAAACATAAACTATTAAAACATTTTTTTCACTTAATTTTTAAAAACCGCAGTTGCTTTGTATTCATTCTTGATTCGTCTTCGTTTTTTGCAGACGACTACACACTTCGAGTCCAAGCCTTGAACCAATACGACATCACTTATGCGTCACTGAAGATAAGCGTCCGCCCGCAATTAAACCACCTTCTCATTTCCTCTTCCGTTCCCGTGGCCCTCGTCGAACAAACTCTCTTTCTGGAAGCTTCCGCAGAGCCTTCCACTTTCGCTGTTGTCTACACGTGGGACTTCGCAGACGGCTCTGAAGTTGTACAAGGCATCCACCGCAGGGTCAGCCACGCATTCGCATCGGCAGGAGTTTACAACGTCACGGTGTGCGCCAACAACGCTCTTACTGCCATGACCACCTGGCTCCAGGTGGAAGTGATGGAGGAAATCTCTGGATTAACACTGAGCTGCAACGGACCCATTGAGCTGAGCTCTGCAACAGATTTTAGAGCGACAGTAGCCACTGGTACGAGTCTCATGTGGAATTTTGACTTCGGTGATGGGTCCCTAGAAGAAAACCGTACAGACGGTTCCATCTGCCACGTTTACGAATTGCCCGGGAACTATACAGCAGATGTAACTGTCTCCAATTCTGTGAGCCAAGCCCATCAGTCTATTGGTGTGGAAGTCTATAGATTGACAGTCAGTGGAGTTCTGCCTGCAGAATGTGTCATGAGCGGAAGAGACGTACCACTTAGCGCTCGGGTGAATGGGAACATATCCGACCTGACTTTCCATTGGATGTTTGGAGATGGATCCCCACCGACCGTAGTGACGGGACAGTCGACGGCCACGCACACATTTCAAAGCCAAGGGATTTCTTATGTCAGCCTGACTGTGTTTAGTTCTGTTACATCTGTGTCTTTTAATACAAGTATCTGTGTTGAAGCGCCAATAACCAACATGACAGTGCTGTCATCACAGGAAGTAGTAGCATCAGGAGGAGAGGCATGCTTCAGGGTGTTAGTCTCACCTGTACAGATGAACGGTTACCAATTTCAATGGTTTAGCAGCACATCGAGTGCTGCACATCGAGTCCCCATTGCCAAAGCAGAAGGCGCTCAAAAGTGTTTTATCTTTGATGACGAAGGTGTTAAAGAAGTATCGGTACTGGCAAGTAACAAAGTCAGTAACAAAACCGCCAGGGCCTTTGTCACCGTTCTAAATCCTGTGAGCAAGCTGTCAGTGGCGCATGACAGTGAAAGTGGCACGGTGACAGCAAATACGTTGGTGTCATTTTGGGTTTTCTCTTGCACTGGCAGTAATGTGTCAGTACTGTGGGACTTTGGAGATGGATCCCCGGCAGAACGAAGGCTTAATGTGTCACATGCCTTTACTTTGGCAGGTCAGTTTACGGTCACAGCCACAGCTTTTAATGCCGTAAGTCGTGATTTTGTGACCCTTAAAGTCAGCGTTTTACTTCCTATTTCAGACATTTCCCTTTACACCAACCAGCCGTATGCTGTTGTGGGAGAAGAAATTATTATCTCAGCAGTTAGCAGTGCTATCAGTAGCACAAACTACTACTGGACTGTTGACGGCATAACCTCGATGAAACAGGGGACTTATCAATTTAGATTTGTTTTCCGGAAACCAGGGGTTTCTCAAGTGAGGGTTATAGCACAGAACCTGGTGAGTAGAAAGGAAGCAGCTGTTTTGGTTGAGGTCTTTGAAAGAATAGAAGGTATTCAGATCAAATGTCCGAGTCTGACAAACATGAAATACATACCAACCCAAGAGGAACTGCTCTTCACTGCTTCCATCGCCAAGGGCTCCAATGTCACTTATCACTGGTCTGCTACACCGAGCAGAGTGACCCAACAGATCTCTGGTGATGGAGAGCTTTTCCATTTGTTTGCTGAAACTCCTGGTGGGATTTCAGTTCAGCTAAGGGCTTGTAACAAGTTGGGGGAGGCCACAAGCGTTGTTTCTTTAGTGGCGGTACAGCCTGTAACAGGTGCACACATTACAGCAGAGTCGAACATCGTGGCATTAGGGAAATTAGTAAATATATCTGTAGCCGTGGTTACCGGTTCAGACCTACAGTACCATTGGTACGTGGAATCTGATCTTCCGCCCTTGCACACCCAAGCGCCCTTTCTACTCCACACTTTTTCAAGTGTTGGTCGTTGTCTTTTTAAAGTTTCGGTTCACAATGTCCTCGGTTGCGTCAATGTCACTAAAGAGTTTAATGTGCAAGAGGAGGTCCAAGAGGTGGACTTTGAAATAGAGGGAAAGACTCATCCCTTTTATGTTGCCACAAGTGTCGCCGTTCAACTCTGTGGGCTTATCCGGAAGGGTAGTCATCTGCACTGGAACTGGAAAATTAGAGCTGCTATGCTTTTTAATGCTTCTAATCAGTCCGTTAGCTACACATTTCCATGTGAAGGCATCTATCAGCTGTCTTTGAATGTCTCCAATGGTATAAATTGGCAGACGGTTTCACACAGTGTCGCAGTGGAGGATGCGATCGAAGGACTAATGCTGAGAGTTTCTGAGTCTTCTTTCTGCACCGAGGAAGAAGTCACTTTTATTCCAACGATCTCCAAAGGAAGCAATGCAAGCTTTGCTATAACATTTACAAACAACGACTGGATCCATAGTCAGGGTGTTCTCGAAGGGAGGTTCACCACATCGAGCCTTCCAGCAGGGGCGCATGTCGTTACAGTCAAAGGTTGGAACCACATCAGTAGTGCGGAGGTATCATCCAGCATTCTGGTGACCGAGCATATTCAAGGTTTGCGGCTTGTGAACTCTAGTTCAGATCCTCTAGAGGCTCTGAAAGGATTCCAGTTCAAGGCAGAAGTTCAAAGTGGTTTTCCGGTCAACTACACCTGGATATTTCACTTGACGGGGTGTAACCCCACCTGGCTCACAGGACAGGAAGTGATCTTTACTCCACCACAGAGTGGTTTACTGTCTTTCAGTGTGCTGGCAACTAATGGGATCTGCTCTAGGTCATTAAATAATACTGCCACAGTCCAGTGGCCTGTTAAGGAAGTCAAACTTGTCTGCCATTCAGAAAGAATATTTGTTGGACATGCTGTTAGGTTTTCTGCAAAAGCGAATGGTAGCAGTCGCAGATACCTCTGGTCCTTTGGAGACTCCGCTGAAGCATTGGTGACTGACTTGAGCACGGTCAGTCATACTTATTATAGTCCGGAGAAATACAGTGTTACGGTCAAGGTTGTCAACAGTGTCAGCAATGTGTTTGCACAAATACACATAGAGGTGGAGGAGCCCAAGTGTCCAAGTCCTAAAGCTGCCATTGTTCAGAGCCGGTCTACTATCTTCAGCTCCAGACAGAACTTCTTTGAAGCAAGCGTGGACATTAACTGCTCCGCCTACAAATCCACATACCTATGGGAGATAGTCAAAGGGTCAGATTGCACTAGTTTAGACTCCTCTGGGGACGAAGTTGCTCTTAGAAGTCAGGTAGATGCAACTTCCCCTTTTCTCTTCCTCCCGAAGCATACTCTTGGTGTGGGACGGTATTGCCTGGTATTCACAGTTGCACTTCAGGGAACTCCTCTAGTTGACAGACAAAAAACCAGCATCACAGTGGTCCACTCAATGCTCGTAGTTGTAATTAAGGGTGGATCCCACAGACTGTGGCCCAGCCTCAGTGACCTCATCCTGGAAGGATCCGAGTCCCAAGACCCTGATGTAGAGCCTGGGGTGGAGGACACATTGCAGTATCACTGGACCTTCATGACAGCGGTAAACGCATGTTGATGTTAATCTGTAATGTATTGCTGAATGTATTGCTGTTGTTATGAATTTGTATACGCATGTGTAATAAATATTCTGTTTGTAGGTGGTACCAACACCTGGCTGTTTCTATTTTCAGAACTCCACGGGTTGTGATTTGGTGCAGCAGCCCATTGGGAGTAACAGCAGCAGAATGACTGTACTGAGCACTCAGCTGCAACCAGGCACAAACTATGTTTTCACCCTCACTGTACACAAGGCAGGGAGGAAGCCTGTCTCTGTCAACCAGACGGTGAGGATTACCCATAATCCTCCTCCATTCGCTCCCAAAAGATTACTTTTTCACTTTTTCTTTGTCATATTTTAAGAAACAAGTGACTTACCATACATACTTTTTCCTGTTTTTAATCTTAAGGTTACTGTGTGTGAAGCTCCTGTGCTTCCTGTGATTGTGGAGTGTGTGTCCTGCTCTGTCCTGTCCCCCCATCACTACATTAATTACAACAGCCCCAATATTCTTTCTGGTCAATGTGGACAGTGTGATGACCAGACTCAGGTAATGATTCTTTTAAATACTGTCAGGTTATATGTGTCACGTTTTTAAATCATATTGTAGAAAGTGAGATTTCCATTTATTTTTTATTAGAAAGGCCATCTAGCTGCTCAAGAAACAAGGCAAAACATTATGGAAGTCCTGACCCTTCAGGACAGCGCAGAATCTAAGTCAGTTATGGAGGAGTTAAATTAAAGCTTCACAAATGATCAAATGTCACGAATGACAGATTACAACATATTGTGCTCCCAACTCTGAAGTCTCTTTTGAATCTTAGTATTAATTGGCTTCCATAATTCATTTGTAAATGCACAGTGTAATATAGATTCAATCAGTGCAATGATTCATCATTTATGGCCAAGAAATAAAGAAATATTCACAGACAATAAGACATCTGTTATTATTATTATCATTCATGTATGTTTCTTCTCTCAGTACAAATGGAGCGCAGAGGACCAGACTGGTGTAACCCTTGACCTTAATGAGGCGTCCACCTCCACAGGGAGACATTCACCAAACTTGGTGGTGCGTGCAGGTGTCCTGCAGGCAGGCCAGAGTTATACCTTCACTCTCAATGTATCCCAGCCTGGCACAGAGCTGTGGGGCAGTGGCAGCCTGACGATACGACCCAACAATCCACCACACGGAGGCCTGTGTGATCTCAGTCCAGAGTCAGATATACGTCTGCTGGAGACGGCGGTCACCTACAGCTGCTCAGGTAACGCGTCTTCCTAGAAGTACCAATTCATGTCCCTTTCAATTGAGAACAATAATAACTAAGAGCTTCTTCAACAAGAACCACTAAAATCGGTTCCGACTTGGCAGGGTGGCGAGGGAGAGGAAGCAGGGCCTCTCAGCTGATCTATACCTTCCAAGCAGCACCGTGCCAGTCCACTAGCACGGCGTGCCCGCTGCTCACTTTGTACAGGTGAACAAAGGCCTCCAACTACGGCTGTTATTAAACTAGGAAGTGCGAGGCTTGCCTGAATATTAAGAAGTCATTATTCATTTACTTACCGTCAAACTTAAGCTGTGTATATTTGATGTCTGCATTTCTCTCCCCAGGGGCACTCGTTCAACATTTGGCAGTCTGGTTCCAATGGGAAGTCCGGGGCGAAAAAGAAATGTGTCAGTGATCACCGTTACTCTGCTGATAGAGGACCACCTGGGGGCAAAGGTCATTGCTCTGAACAGGTAAGCTACCACAATTTGATGCAGAGGAAGCAAAACATCAACTGGCACCATACATTATTTTCCAGTCAAAGGTTAGAATGATAATTTAGGTTATTACAAACCACAGCAAATATCTCTGTCATGTTTCCCTGATTGCTTCTCTCTCCAGAAAGTTGACTGTTGAAACTCCTCAAAGGGACGAAAATGCCAGTCGGTGGCTGAGGAACAAGAGCCGGACACAGCTGTGGGCTTTAGTCCAACGTGGCAACCCTCAAGAGATCATCCCCTATTCCATTGCCCTCACCAGCCAGCTCAATCAGGTTGTGTGTCAGCATCATACTATCTCACTGCATTGCATGGAATTACCCTTGAGAAGTGAGAATCTCTGAAGGTTTGCATTTGTTAAGAATTAGGTCTAGAGAGTTTCAACCCCCTGTCCTCAGATGGAGTCTGGGCGGACTGTCTCGGAGCTCATGGACAGAAGGGAAATCCGAGAAAACGTGACCCAAGCCCTGGCCTCCCTGCCGGTGAACTCCTGGCTGAATGTCGATCAAATCAGCTCTGCGTTGTCACAGTCTACTGTGAGTAAATTGACTAGTTTATTTCCTCGCCATTATCACCTACTAACAAGTGACGATTGGTAATGTTGGAAATGCTTCAGCAAACACAGACACACAATGAGTCCAAAAATATGTGAAATATAGTTTTCACCAGAGCTTAACCCCAATGCATGTCTAGACAATGTTGACTTCTTTTGGCCGTGTTAACGCATATAGCCTAACAAAGGGCAGGTGTGTGAGTGAAATATTTTGAATATAACAAGTAATATATTTTTAATAATGAATTCTGTAGCCAAAATCGCGACACTGTAAATGTTCCCATTAAATTAAAACCCCAGTTTTGGATCCCAAGATTAAGCATAAAATTGTAGATTTTATTATTTGAGACAATCAGATATCATTTAAAGGTTTTAATTCTGAAAAGGAATGGATGACGGTTGTTGATTTGTGGAAAAAAACTTTCTCTGCTTTTAAAGGAATGGAGACCTTTACTCATTAAATCTTATACTGTCGTATTTGCTTTGTTTTCACCAGGCAGTTCCCAGTGAACTGATAAGTGAAAAGAGCCATCAGAAGGTTATGGAATCTGTGGGGAAGATGATCCATGTCATGGAGGAGCAGATGAGTCCTGGTGTTTTCTCAGCTCTGGAAACTGGGAGGAACATTCTCAACGTCATAGGTGCCCGTCCACCACCGTCCCCTGCATGGAAAACAGTTTTCTGGTGAACTTTGCTGAATATTTTGCGTTCTACTTGCTTCCAGGTAGCACCCTGGCGGCTGTGTCCCAGTCTGTCAGCGCTTCCAGGTCTCACCCAGCCGGCACCCTGCAGTCGGGTCCCACGATCACCCTGTCGGCCCTGGGTCACGCCGGGGGCCTGATGCGCTCTGTGATGCATTTGCATGTTCATGGCGAGACCCCCCTCTCGCTTTCCACCGCTTATATCAACACGGTGGGTTTCCGTGGCGACCCCTCCGGCCTCCTCTGCTCGCACCGCTCCGACCAAAACCACATTCTCGCCTCTCAGTCATCAGCAAATGGCGGATCGAAGACTCGCCCATGTGACTTCCATATTCCCGCCTCACTCACCGCTCACCTGAAGAGTCAGAAGACCGAAGTGGTGCAAGTTGTGTTTGGTGTGGGTGCAGACTTGGGATCCAACTCATTACTGACTGCGGCCGAGCCCCCCATTTCCACCGCTCTGGTTGGCATGGAGCTCACCACCCCTCAGGGCCAACCCATACACATCCAGGATCTGGAACCCAAACAGGCCATTCGGGTCACTCTGCCCAACAAATACCCTTTGGGACAGGGCGATGGGGGTGGGGATGGGAGGGTGGGTGAAGCTGGGAATGGGACGTGTCTTACTGTGATCCTACCAAACAAAGGGATGTTGAACCTTACAGTCAAAGCTGTGGATGGACTCGATGAAAACGCAGGGTTATATATCTCCTTCAACTTCAGTCTGGACCCAGGTACAGTAAACTATTACTTTCTCTCTGCACCCATCTGATTTTGTTTCAAAACTCATATTCCAATTGACCATAATTGCTTAATTGACCCTAATTGATGAACACACTTTAAATGGATACTAAGCTGATAATTTGCTATCTAAAGCTCATAGGTAGGATGTCCATGTGATTATATCAACTTTCAAACTTTTTTTTCTTGTCATCACTATGCATTGTTGAGATAAAACTATTAGAGCCGACTTCAGCTGCAGTGTTCAGAAATAATGTGTAAAGCCATCTGTTAAATAATGGCTGAACTATCTTTAAGCTGCAGTTGGTCAATTGAATTAAAATTACTTTTGTCATAATCCTCTCCATCAGTTCAAACGTGTTAAAACCTTTGATCAGCGCTGCCGAGTTTGGCAGTTGATTGGTATTCATTGATTGCCATTAGCGTTGGAGACTCCTGTGCTCTGATTGGTTGTTTTCCTTTGGGAGCTTTGTCTCATGTGCTGCTGTCAGGATGTAGCGACACTATTATTAATTAGTTAGCGACTGTAGCTTTTAGGTCGATCATCCAGAGCCTACATAATAATTCGTTAACCTTAATGTATATATACTGAGTTGTATTTTTTATTTTATTTTAAATTATAAATTAAAAAGGCTGTGTTCAAACTGCATTATGCATATCTAGGAGCTACCCCAGTGAGTTTGGGACATGTAAAGATAGAAGTGAGCTCTACAGTACCGGGGACCAATGCATCCCTGGTGAGAGTGTGGCCTCTCACTCTCGCTGCTCCAACCATCTCCGCGGAGGAAACCATATTCCTGTCCCCACTGTAAGTCGTGGCTCTCTTCTGTGACTTAGTGCCGGGTCTGATTGCTCATTTTGACGCACAAGGAAGTTCTTTGCATGACCAACATTCCTTCCCCTACAGTTTGGACGGGACAGATGAAACCCTCTCTGTCAACCTGACCTCGTCTCTGGGTGGCGGCGGTCCGGCGCGTGTGTCGGTGTGTGTGTTCAGCTCGCTGTGCCAGTACTACAATGTGGAGGAGAGGTGTTGGAGCAGCCGGGGTCTACAACCCCTGGAGGGCAGCACGCTCCACTCGGCACACTGTCTCACCCGGCACCTCACCATGTTTGGGGCCAGCCTATTCGTTCATCCTGGGGCAGTTGTTCTTCTGCCTCCGGTACGTGGGGACCCAAGGCAGCTGTTATTTAGTGCATGCATTTTGGACAAATAAATATATGTCAACCATTCCCCAAATGCTAAGTCAGGATGAGAAAGAAAGCTGTCATGAACAGGCTCTTCCCTCCATCTGTTTCTTATCTGTGCAGCCAGGCGGTCCCATGCGTAACATAGTGGTGGGGATTGTGTGTGCTGTCCTGGTGCTGATTCATGTGCTGGTGGGGCTCATCGCCCATAAACTGGACCACTTGGACAGCTTGAGACTCAGCCAGGTCCCTCTGTGTGGCCGACCGGGGATGTACCAGTACAGAGTACTGGTCAAGACCGGCTGGAGGCGAGGAGCAGGTCAGCCAAGGACACGTCAATGTGATGGGGAAATGAAAAATGCACAGAAATATAAGCAATGGAATCATTTACATTGTGGAGTTGATGAAACCTCTAACTACATATGATGGAAATGATTAATGTACCCATCAGGCACCACAGCACACGTTGGCATCAGCCTGTACGGTGTGAACAAGAGCGGCTCTCGCCATCTGCAGAGGCATGGAGCTTTTCAGCGTGGCAGCCTGGACCAGTTTCACCTGGAGACAGACAACAACCTGGGAGAAGTTTGGAAAATTCGTATCTGGCATGATAACACAGGTATGTGCAAACTGCAAAAATATCATTTTAAAGCTTTTGGTATTGCTTTGATCCTCTGGGATGAAGACATTATATTGTAAGCAATTAGAACGACTTCCAGCTCTACATAGATATTTTACAAAAAATAACACTTTCAAACCGTGTGTGGGACCAAATGATTTGTTAAAATTCAGATCCATGATCTGTCTATCACCGTTAGTAGTCGAGGTGACCATATGTGGATGTATTTGAATATCATCCGTGTAATTCCAGGCCTAGAGCCGTCGTGGTACGTTAAGCACGTCGTGGTTTGGGACCTTCAGACAGACCACATGTTCTTCTTCCTGCTGGAGGACTGGCTCTCTGTAGAGAATCAGAAGAACGGCTCGATGGAGAAAGAAGTTCTGGCCTCATGTAAGCGTAGACACTTTTGTCAGATTATATAATGTACTTCTGTTCTCTTGCTAACTGTGTGTGTGTTTTTTGGCCAGGTCCCGAGGAGCTTTCTCAGTTTCGACGGGTCTTCACCTCCCAGCTGAAGTTCGGGATGGTTGAGCACCACCTGTGGCTGTCGCTATGGGAACGCCCCGCCCACAGCCGCTTCAGCCGGGGTCACAGGGTGACATGCAGCGCTCTCATGCTGCACCTCTACCTGGCACTGGGGGCTCTGTGGTACGGGGCTGTTGGCACAGAGAGGCACAGGTAGGATGGTTTATAAGCATGAATGGGACGCCTATATCGTTGGGTATTAGTTCAAAGTTCATTAATAAATTATTTAGATTAACAAATGCCTGATTATGTAGCAATTATGAAATAGTTCAAAAAAAGGAAATGTGTATAATTTGTTAATTGACTTTTTCAAGATTTAATCAATATCATTGTAACGGAACAGTCACTTGTTATTTATTTGTCCTAATATTGCATTGTCAATCAAATACAAAATGTAATGTTTTCTACTAATTTTGGCTCATTCAAAGACAACATCATGTCAATTTTTATACATTTTAATTGGATTTGAGTGTTTTACTTCCATAAACAACCCTGTGACTATATTGTGAATATTGATTGACAGGAACCTGATTTGTGTCTCTCTGCCACTAGTGGACCGGTGTCGGCCCGCCTGCTGGTTGATGTGGAGGCGATTGCCGTGGGGATGACTGTCGCTGTACTAGTGTTTCCTCTCCAGTGTTTCCTCTGTTTCATGTTTAGAAAAGCTCACCGTCCGGTAACTTAAAACCAATACTCTCTTTTCATAATTTAATTCATTGCTGAAGGAAGCCTGGTCCTCACGCTCAACTCGTCAAAGATTATGCAAAAATGAAGTTCCTCTACCCTCAGTTTTAAAGACGGGGGTTGTGAGGTGATGTAATATGAAGCAACACAGGCGCACACACACTTAACCTACGGCATCGTGTATTGTGTTGCCTCATATGAGTTTTCTTAGTTTGACCTATTGATGTGTTCTTTAAACCGGCGTGTAAATGGACTTTTGGTGGCGTTTCTTCTCGTGTGCTCCTGTGTGCTGCCCATTAGAGGTCATTAAGGACTGTGTTAGACGTGCGTCTGTTTGTCAAACAGTCTTATCTCAGCGTGGAAGCAGATCAAGCGTTCAAGTGTCAAGAGTTTTCTATGTATCTGAATGTTAAGGCAGCAGTTAATGTGTGTGCACGTGTTTGTGTGTGGTTGTAACACAGGTAACCGTGGACACATCAGCTCCCCCTTCTCCTGTCTGTCACTCTGTAGAGATGGACGTGTACCTCGGCCAATCGGCGCTCTCCGCATCTTCCTTCCTGTCTCTGTCGGACTCCTCCGGTCGAGTGCGAGACAGTCCTTCATCTGTGAGCGCAGAAAAATATGCACACACATAGAATACAAAAATTTGCCCTGTCTCACGAAGTGTCTTTCTTGTTCCTGTAGTTACTGGAGAGCAAGGCGCTTGACTCCAGTATTCTAGACTTTTGGGCTGCATCCGGCTTAGCGCCTCAGAAGGATGGAGCACTTCGAGAGGTGGGAATGGAAACATGGCCGTCCTGCGACAGCCTCCTCAACCTACCAGCAGACCCACGCCTCACCAAGACAACCCCCAACCTCTGCAAAGCTTCCCCTGTTCTAGGCCCTGCACGCCAGCTGAGGAGGAAAAAGGCCCTGATGCAGCTCCAGCTGGCCTCGCCCTCCTCCCCTGGCGCGCCTGCTGCTCTTTCTCGCACACATTCCCTTTCAAAAGACATTAACAGTTCTCACAAATCCCCTGCTTCCCAGGACAAAAAGGTCCACGCCATGAAAAACAACTCAGTGCAAGCTCACAGGATCAATCTGACTACGTTTCTGACTTTGTCTGGTGAGAAACAGAAATAAACACAACGTATTCCTCTATTAGCTACATGTGAAGTCTTGTGTCCCATGCCATCGGTTTCTATCATGTCATTTCAAAGTGAGTTTTGAATGGTTCCATATATAGAAAATTATTGCTTGGAGGTTTTTGGGAAACCTCCCTGCAAAAGACAAAACCCCTCACTGTGACTAATAATGGTAAAAAGTAGGGTGGATCCATTGACGTGCGTGTGTGTATGCTGTGTGTAAACTTATAGTCTGTATTTGTGCTTCACACCAGAGGAGGATCTACTGATGTCTATAGCAGCGGAGGACACAGCAGATACAACAAACAGCAACTCAGACAGCGGCTGGGATTCCCCTAGAGCCACCTCCTCGCTCTCAACCACGTGAGGAGCGCTTCTGTGCGGCATGCAATTCATTATTTCACGCCTTCTTGTGTTCCCTGGAACCTCCTGCATCGCTGTGATTTCCCCCCTTTCAGCCGGAGTACCTCATGCAGCAGCTGGTCAGAGCAGAGTGAGGAGACATACGGTGCAGAGGTCTACAAGCCGGGTTCACAGTCCTTTCCCGGCCTGCACGGTGCAGGACTCTACAAGTGTCCCTCAGTGCGATCCGTAGACTCCGTGGCCAGCACCTTCCTTCCCAGCCCGTCTCCTGAATCCACGCGCTCCTCCTTCACCACACGCATAGGTACTAACCTCCAACTTTTCATGGATGAATGTGAATAAGCCCAACACAGGGGAAAATTACTGTTGCAAATGACAAATAATAACGCCTATTGGATGCACAATTGGTATATTTCTATTCCCATCTGGCGTGAGCATTGTTTAAAGATATCTGCCGGTCAATCCCCTCCGTCTCAGGAGTTGCTCGGGCTCAGCCTGGTTGGCTGCTCCCTCCTTGGGCCCTGCGTGTGATTTACCCCTTGGCGGCCCTGCTGCTGGGAGCGTGCCTGGCTGTCGTCGGACTCTACGGGAGCTTCTGGTCCAGAACGGTGGTCCTCATGTGGCTTGTGTCTGCTCTCTCTGCCTTTCTGGCCTCAGCTCTGCTACTAGAACCTCTCAAGGTGAGTTCATCTAATCAGCTTTTTGTGGTTTTCAGTAGATAATTCCTGTGATTTATCGTCCTCGTCTTCGTCCTCGCTCAGGTGTGTGTGCAGGCGTTGATTCACACAGCACTGCGGAGGCCTGTGGACCCGGAGGTGGAAGAGCAGCTGGCTCAGGAGAGCACTGTGGTGAGGGCGTTTGGTGAGCCTGGGGGGAAGGTCCGACCACCATGTGGCTACGGGCTGCTGCAGGCCAAAGTCGAGGCCCGCAAAGTCCGAGCTCTGGGATCACTGATGAGGGTGAGTACGACACAGAACTTTATAGCAGACGATTGGTGCTTCGGCTCTCTGTTGATTGTCATCTGCACCCTTTCCGCAGCACTGTGTGTGCCAGCTGTTCTTCCTGTTGCTGGTGCTGTTGGTGAACTACCAGGACGCCATGGAGCAGAGGCAGGGCAGGCTGTTGCACTCCGCTGTCAGGCGCCGTCTTTACACGGCGCCCTTGGGGGTCCCTAACCTCACCTCCCTCAGAGGGTAAGGGCAACGCTCAGCTTGCTGCTGTCCAAACACTGCACAGTACCCAATTTAGCCACATACCACCACAGCACCCTGCTTGTTCCGCTGGGCGTCATCATGAACAGTATAGGTCTTCATCAATGGTGCACACTGTCAGACATCCTCGTGTCTATTTACCAGGGGGGGTGGGCCGGGACATGCTTTGCTGCCAATCACATTGTCTTAACATTAGGAGGTGCCAGATTCAGTCATTTTAAGAGCCTACATACAGCGTTTATTTATCGTGCAGTCAGCTTATCTTTAATTTGGCGTCCTCAGAAAAATACATACAAGAATTGTCCTTACATAACTATTAGGTCTGTGCATGGCTTGGCCTTAATTCTTAAATCAAGCCATTTGACTAAATTGAGATGAATGAGAATGTCTGGAGGCTATAGCCCAAAGCTTGTGTTGATTCTCTCTCCATCCAGCTGGTCAGACGCAGAGCAGTGGATCAACCACACCTTGGTGGAGCACTTGCACCAAAACCCTATACTGCGCCTCGTTGGATCGCCCCGGCTGCAGTTCGCACATCTCCTCATTCCCATGCAAAGTGTCTTTCTGGGAAACAGCAGTGCAACAACACGCCAGCTCATAGCTGACTTACATATGGCCGACTGGGGAAAGAAACAGTAAGTGGATTAGTGACGGCAAGGCGACTATATGTATCAAGAAAATATTCTAATATATATATATATATATATATATATATATATATATATATATATATATATATATATATATATATATATATATATATATATATATATATATATATATATATTACAATACTTTCTTTTATTCCCTCTCAGGTTTAAAACCCTTTCAATGGACTTCACACACTACCACAGAGAGTCTGGCTTGTTTGTGAGCGTGTCCATGGAACTAGAGTGGGCTCAGTTACAAGACGTCACCCCCTTTCTCTCCATCCTTCCGCTCCACATCCCTTCATCCCGCTCTGGACTGGACCTGCAGGTGGCCCTCACGGTAATAAAGACTGCAATCCCTTCAAATACATAGAAGATCTGAATCAGACCTGATACATTTATGTAGAAGAATAGTCTAAAATAATTCCAGTGTTACAATCCACTTGCTTTACACTGCAGGTTCTCCTTCTCATGTCTGCTCTCCTCATCTTGTTTGGAGAGCTGTGGTCCATGGCCCCTGAGTGTGCCCAGGATCTGCCTCAGTGCAGACACTGGTCCCAGCTTCTCCTGGCTTTGTTGTCCCTGGCAACGGCTATCATGCACCTCTGCTCCTCGTCCCAGGCCAAGTACTGTGTTTCCAAGGTAACAAAAATACAGAAGACTTTCAAGATCCATTACCTCCAACATTAGTGTCACCTAAGCAGGCCATCGTTATGTGGTTACCCCATGGGTCCACATTTGATCTGTTGGTGGTCAACTGTGTCTGAAAAGCGACATCGTTAATTCACTTGTCAAATTATCACAATATTTTCTTTATTTGTCCAACCTTGTCCCCTACAAGGTTTTGTTTCATTGGTGGAAAGCGCATTATGCAAAACAGGGGTACTGACATTCAATACATACAAATAGACTATATTTTAAATATAGATGAATTGAAACAAACCAGAGCAAATAACAATTGTAATATTCGAGTAATGAAAAAGAAGTTGCAGGCAAAATTGAGTAAATTTGGTGAAAAATAAGCCCTCATGTAGAGGCAACCAAAAACCCTTTATTTATTCTTTGTAGTTACATAGAACAAGATGTCAATAATGAAAGAAAATCACTTCAGTAAAAACATGTGTTGCTTTTATGATATACAAGGACCTTTATGTGCCACTCAGCTCCGATCCCAACCAGACAGCTTCATCGACTTCCACCGTGCCGCCGTCCTGGCGCAGCACTGTTCTCAGTGCGCCGCCGTCCTGCTCACTCTCCTCGTTCTAAAGGTAAGCGAGAGCTCTCCTTCATCATCACACATCTCCACACTGGTCCCCTGGTTTCCACCTTCTGTTAAATGTCTCCACTGCCCTGTGCCTCAGCTGCTGGGAACGTTGAGGTTTGCGCGGAGGTCGGTGGTGTTGGGCAGAGTGCTGCAGAGAGCCTGGAGGGAGCTGTGGGCTCTGACCGCCCTGCTGCTGTTGTTGCTGCTGCTCTGCACCCACCTTGGGAATGTGGTACGATAAGGAAGCGTCCAGCGTGGATCAAGGGTTCCTAAGGACAAAATGTATTTCACATGCCTGTGTCTTTCTCCCAGCTCTTCTCCCGTTCAGAGGAGAGCTCCCTGTCGCTACGTCAGACCGGGCTGTCAGTGCTGTCCATCCCGGCGGGGCGGGGATGGCTCTCCAAAGACTCTGCAGGCTCCACCGAGTCTTGGGCCCCATCTATGGGCTGCTACTGAAGGGGGGGTGTGTTGGGTTTTTAGCCAGACTCTGGGGAGCTGTTTTCATCCGTGCATACAGGTACACAATGTAGGTGCATATTATTACCAGTGCATGGTTGTTGTAGATACACGGTACTGTAGATGTGACCCAAATTTCAACCAACCAGTGCGAGATCATTTTGTAGATATTTGGATAGAGACTAATTGGAAAACATACAAATGTTGCTTGGTAAGGGCACTTTGTGATACATATTAAGTGAACACCAAAGTGATTAAGGTTCATCCAATGTGGGGGGGGTTAAACCAAATCCATCCATCCATCCATCCATCCATCCATTGTCAAACCGCTTATCCTGCACACAGGGTCGCGGGGGGGGGGCTGGAGTCCATCCCAGCCAACTTCGGGCGATAGACAGGGTACATCCTGGACTGGTCGCCAGCCAATCGCAGGGTTACACAGAGACACACAACCATTCTATGGCGTCAGTTTAATGACAAAACTCACACATGCGAGGAAACGTCTATTCGAGTGAATTTCAGGTTTTCGCAAGCGTACATTTCTGCTGCGCACTCTATTTTAGCAGGCGCGAGAGGAAATTCAACAACTGCGAGCGCAGAGACTGACTCTCTCCTGAAAACTTGGTCTGCTCGCTCAAATGTATCATACGCTCTCGCGAAAACTTGATCTGCTCGCTTGAAAGTATGACTTTTGGCAGTGTGTGGGCGGGAACCAAAGGAGGACGGGCTCTTCTCTGATTGGTCCTGGTCGTTGAGGCTTTGAAAAAGTCTCGTAGGCACGTCACTCACCCAAACTCCGGTAAGTTGCTACATATATGAGCAGATCAAGTTTTCGAGCGACAGATCAAGTTTTCGCGAGAGAGTATGTCATTCTCTGCGCTCGCAGTTGTTGAATTTCCTCTCGCGCCTGCTAAAATTGAGTGCGCAGAAGAAATTTACGCTTGCTAAAACCTGAAATTCACTCGAATAGACGTTTCCTTGCATGTGTGAGTTTTGTCATTAAACTGACGCCATACCATTCACACTCACACATCTACAGGCAATTTAAAGTCCCCAATTAACCTGATCCCCAGAGCACGGAGGAAGCAGACTCCACACAGAAAGGCCACTTGGCGGAATCGAACCCAGGCGCTTCTTGCTGTGAGGCGACAGTGCTACCACCACGCCACCATGCCGCCCTTAAAACCAAATCCATTCATCCATTATACTACCATGGCAACTAATGCTTCAGACCTTTTCTCCTAGCAGGGTGGCAAGAATGAGTTCATATTTGGTAAGGTAAAGGCTGCATTAGGTAGGTTTCATTGTCTACTACTGCTTTTGCTGTGTCCTCAGGGAAGAGCAGGCTGAACTGTACTGTCCAACCAGTGAACCTCAGGACTATGAAATGGTGGAATTCTTCATTAAGAGATTCAAACTGTGGATGGGACTCACCAAAACCAAAGAGGTAGGCATTAGCAGTGGTGCAAAGCTTCCAAAGCCGGGGTCACATTGCTGATCACACGCACGTCTTTCTCCTTTCAAGTTCAGGCACAGGGTGAAGTTCGAAGGCATGGACGTCCCTCCTTCCAGGTCTTCACGGGAGTCCCCTCTCTCCACCCTGTCTTCCACCCTGCCCTCTTCCAGTTCCCCTTCCCTGTCCTCCTCATTCTCGTCCCCCCGTCCCTTGTCCTCGTCTCTCTCCGTGAGGTCTGACGACTCGTCAGTGTCTGAGGCCGGGTTCGACGTCCGACCCCACCTGGACCGCCTGCTGCCCTGCGTCAGTGCACTGCTCTCTCGTTTTGACCAGGTCAATCAGATAACGGAGGACGTTCACAACCTGGAAATTAAACTGGAAGAGGCTCAAACCAGCAGGAGGAAGAAGTGGATCAGTAACAAGGACAAAGTAGTAGAAATGTTGGGAGATCCAGAGAGGCCAGAGGAACTGAAAGGAGAACAAAGCGAAACGGGAGAATTTAGACACAGGAAGAAAAGCGTTTTTCACCTCACGCAGCGAATCTCCGTTCCATCCTCGTTCTGTTTCGCCCCCTCCACGGCGCACTCCTCTGCTGCACCGGTCTGCAGGAATACCCGCACACATAGCATCTACTCTGAGTCCGGATTGGTGTCATTCAAGCTTCACGCCGCCAGCAACGACCGTGCTTCTGAAGCAGCCAAGCTTGTATCTGGAATCTCTGGTCCATATCCGGAAGATTCCTCTGCAGACGGCGGGTTCCCCCGCAGGAGAGCTTGGCATTCTGGGAGCTCACATTCAGCTGACGTGGCCCAGCGGATACTCCGTCCACACGGTGAAGTTGTTCCATGTGACAACAGAGGAGACGATTTAGCATTTAATAACAGCAGACCCAGAAGCGAAGAAGGGTTGAGGCAGCATCTCAATGATGGAGTCCCCGTAAAGAGGAAGGCTTGGACTGAGCAAGACTGACTTTGGGTTTGGCTCGGAAGAAGACTGATGGGAGAAGATATCTGTAGTAGTTGACATCTACTCTACTGCTTTTCTGGAACTGCATGTTAAAAAACTGGTTGTATGTGTTCGAATTGTTTTCTCGCGTGGGCCATTCAGAACGGGTTAAAGGGCCTCTGATTTGGCACTCAAGTATGAATTCATGAGCCCGCTGAAGATACTTGATCCATGGTTCTGGAAGAGTTGGTCAGTTCTAAAAAAGTAACCCACAGGATGTCATCAGCGGAATAGTGGCTTTGTTTTTTGAAACACCTTTTTAGGGTTTGGTGTCTGAGTGGGGCTAGACTTGTCTGTGTAAGTCAATTGACTTACACTTGATTGTCGTTATTGCTTATATTGACGTTTTTTTGCTCAAACCCCGGCAATTATTTTGGCCAAAAGCCTGATGGCCTTACACTTGAGAAGAGAAATAAGAAATGCAATATTTGTAAAACATGTAATGTTACTTTAGGAAAGTTGTTACTGCACATAACTGTACCTTAACTATTCTTTACCTTATTTCATATCTGTAAATGTAGTTGTATCTTCTTACACGTTTGTATGAGACTGGATGGATGTTTTACTCTGCAGACAATTAAAGAACATTTTGTCTAAAAGGATTTCATTTCTTCAAGCATTTTATTTTGAATATGAAACCGGTGCTCTCCCCCAACAGTGCATTTTGGTTCTTGTGTTTACTTTAAATGATACCATGACTCTATACATATTTAATCAGCCATAATTCCCATTATTACCGGAAGGAAAATACCTTGATGTATAAGTAAACACAGCAGCAAACACTTTTAGTGCAAGAGGGAGCTAAAGATCTAGACTCGGTTGTGTATATGGTAAAGCTAAGAGTTCTTGATAAAATGAAAGTATGAAAAAAAACACGATATACAAAGAGAAGACGATAAAATGATCAAATTTGAGAGTTCAAGCTGTATGATGAAGAGAACCCTGCATCACTGTTTGACTTTGACAATGTTTGACATTTTGATTAGGACCGCTTTATCCAACAAGTCTGTTCCCTTTCTTAATCATATAATTGACATTCACCTGAGGTTAACGAGCACTTTGACCATTACTTATCTTTACTTATCACTTGTGTTTGCATTGTCTTATCATTGTTTAACGATAAAGTTTTAGTCCACCTGTATAAATGAGGGCGCATGCCTGTGTGTCGGTACTCTTCTTTTGGAATCCACTGGTGAGTACCCTACAGGTCATAGACCTGTTATATCTTTCTATTACTAGTACAATTTGTATAATTCTGTAGTGTGATCAACTTTAGAGACGTGGGGTTTATTTGGCTGTAATTTGTTGTCTTCCACAGTTGAGAGCCGATCCGAGACAATGATGTGGGCCTTTGTTGTGTGTGCCATGGTGGCGCTGTCCGAGTGCCTCCTCCAGTAAGTCAGCCTCGCCACTGAAACAACATCTTACACCTATAGCCATTTAGATTTTAGGTTTGCTTTTCCTCATTGTATGATAAGGTGTCCGGCCTCTTCTTCTGAGCGGTTTACCAGGAAGAGTAAATGAGGTGAAAGACCCTTTACGGGTCAGTCAAAGCCTTAAAAATGTAAATTACCGGATTCAAGCAGCTCCTTCTTGTGACACCTAGGGTCCCTCTGGAGAAAGGTCAGTCCGCCAGGGAGTTCTTGGAGCAGCAGGGTAAATGGGACGAGTACAGAGTCAGGTACCCCTACAACCCCATGGCCAAGTTTGACGAGCGCTTTGCTGTGGGCGGCGAGCCCATGACCAACGACGCTGATGTGAGTAACAGTTGCCAAAGCCCAAATGGGCCAGGTTGTGACACACGGGTCTTTTGAACCATGAGTGACGTTGCCGTCTCCTCTTTATCTCCAGCTCGCTTACTACGGAATCATCTCCATTGGAACTCCCCCTCAGTCCTTCAAGGTCATCTTTGACTCTGGCTCGTCCAACCTGTGGGTGCCCTCCATCTACTGCAACAGTCCAGCCTGCAGTATGTCAAACTAACTGTAAACCTGCAGCAATAGGACATTTATGTCTTGTAAAGTTTTGAAATCATGGATTGTCTTGATTTTCCAACACCTGTTCCTTCATAGATAACCATGCCAAGTTCAACCCTGGCACCAGCAGCACCTACAGAAACAACGGCGGCGCTCTCAGTATCCGCTACGGCACCGGCAGCATGACCGGAATCCTTGGATACGACACCGTGAAGGTGAGTGTAAAAGAATGTAGTATTGAAACTGTATTTACTCATAATCCACTGATTATGTTTTTTCAAAGTGTTCAAGGCGTAATGGAACATCTAGGTTCCCACCTAGTTCGTGTTCACTTGGGTTGGAAAAAGGACAGGCTATTCGGACTACCCTTTATTGTGATTTGAGAGGGTTCTACAATGGCGTCTTTGTGTTTGTCATCTAGGTGGGTGGACTCGCTGTGACGAACCAGATCTTCGGCCTGAGCGAGTCGGAGGCTCCCTTCATGCAGTACATGCGTGCGGATGGTATCCTGGGCCTGGCGTACCCACGCCTGTCAGCATCCGGCGCCACACCTGTCTTTGACAACATGATGAGGGAGGGCCTGGTCAACCAGGACCTCTTCTCTGTGTACCTGAGCTCGTAAGGACAGCCACGGCTTCGCAGTCTCCCAATACTGACACAGCGACTCATATCTGGAAAGGTTTTCAGTCCTTTCTCGTTTTCCTCTGCAGTGACTCTCAACAGGGCAGCGTGGTGACCTTCGGTGGTGTTGACCCCAACCACTACTCTGGCCCCATCTCCTGGATCCCCCTGTCCAATGAGCTGTACTGGCAGATCACAGTGGACAGGTATGACCGTGCGGCGTTGTTACGTAGAGACAAAGCGTTTGATATCCCTGTGATGTGTGGTGTGCTGTGTGTCCCTTTCAGTGTGACGGTCAATGGTCAGGTTGTGGCTTGTAATGGCGGCTGCCAGGCGATCGTGGACACCGGCACTTCTCTGATTGTCGGACCTCAGAGCAGCATCAGCAGCATCAACAGCCGGGTGGGAGCCAGGAGTCAGAACGGAGACGTGAGTGCGAGATAGAGGTCTGTCGCTTTGAAACTTAGAAATTGATAAGTAGAACCAATTTGAGCACTCTCTACTTCCCTTTTCCCTTCCCTTCTTTCTGTCTATTCCTCTTTCTCTGCATCAGTACCTTGTCAACTGTAACGGCATTGCCCAAATGCCAGATGTGACCTTCCACATCCATGGACAGGAATTCACCATCCCAGCCTCTGCCTACGTCCGTCAGGTATGTGTTTCCCAGGCAGATTTTGTTTTTTGTTCTTCATTTTTCTATGCTTAAATTGTTTTCTAAAATCTTTCCAACAGTCTCAGTACTATGGCTGCCGTACTGGCTTCGGCAACGGAGGGGACAACCTGTGGATCCTGGGTGATGTCTTCATCAGACAGTACTACTCCATCTTCAACAGAGCCCAGAACATGGTGGGTCTGGCCAAGGCTAGATAAGTCTGAGGTCACCCATCCCAAACAGCCGATAGACAGTCACATGTACATATTGTGGCTGTAGTGCAATTTCCAACATGCCTGAAACTGTTTTCCTTTTCAAACCTTCATCCTTGTTTTATTCATCCAATAAAGAGAGTCAAATAAATTTAAATGGTGTTTTATTTAATTGGACAAAACATACACTCCAAGTCTGTGACAATTTAAGATGGAAACAACACACTATGCTGCGGCATACAAAGCACACATGCAACTGACTGAGTAATACATTATAATATGTTACCTAATCATCCACCAATAAATGGAACTTTCCTGACCTCACAGCGACTTTTGCTGAAGTCACTAAATATTATGGGAAACATAATATCACAGAGAACGGAGATGAATCAGCAGTCTTTTAGGGGGGATCGACTAAAATGCATCTACGCTGATACATATTGTGTATCGTACTATGTTGTTGGACTTAACTTACTTAACATCTCAGAGAAACTCACGAAAATCATAAAACAAATGCCGCCCTAACTGCCACAAACATGCAGCTACGGCTCATCGCCACAGAGAGAAGGAAACACATCCGCAACAATGCAGCTTTATGAACCCAGTGATGGAATGAGGAACTTTCTATCACCCTGTGAATGGCGTCTATTTTTAGATTTCTTTGAACAACACTGACGACAAAAGACTTTACTGGATACACACTTCCGTCTCTAACAACCATGCTAAGGCAGTAACTTCAGGCAGCGTACCAACCAGCAGCAGTGTTTGACACTCCCGGTTCTTGGCATACTCCTGCACTGCTAAATCTAAGGTAAGAAAGAGGTCAAGTAAAGATGACAATCACCTTGGCAGTGTAAGTGTGTTTTTCTTCATGGCAACATATTTATTATTGCCAGAATTAGCTGTATTAGTAAGAAAGTGACGATTGAGTTTTGTTTTTTTCTTAGAATTTGAGCCGGCAATGCCTGCAAAAAAAGACAAAAGCTACTGCGACTGGATGTCGCAACTGCCGCCTGAACTCCACGACATTCCTTTCTTCAAACTGGCCATACCGGGTATGAAGCTCCATTGCACTGTGCTAAGCCACAGCACGTTGCCAACTTAGTTTTGACAGTTTCAGTGCATTTTAATTAACTTATGCTGTCATGTATACATATATGTTTATATATATATATATATATATATATATATATATATATATATAGATAGATGTATATAGAAAAGGTTTTACCTGGACAGCATCAATTGGTGGTTTATCAAAACAGTGACATTTCTATGACACCTATGTCTGTGTGTGTGTGTGTGCTGTTTAGGTAGCCATGACTCTATGAGTTATGACTTGGACATCAACTCCTCCATAATAGAACCTGATAGACTTAAAAGATTGAGCAGGATTTATTGTGCACGTAAAATAGTGCGTAAATGGGCCGTCACTCAGGTAAATGGTGTTTAAAACCGGTCAGTATCCACTTTATCTACACACATAGATGTTTTATTTGTGTCTATATATAAAGTGGAGTATCAGTTTAACTGTTGACATGTATCGGCCCGCAGGATGAGACCATCACAAAGCAGCTGGATGCAGGAGTTCGCTACTTTGATCTGAGGATCGCGCGCAAGGCCCATGACCCCGACCCCACGAGGCTTTACTTTCACCATGGGCTGTACACGAGGACCGATGTGGAGGTAAAGGGGGAAAAGTCATACCGTACTGTAAGAACATTGCTTATTTGCAATGTATCAATCAATAAATATTTAGGAGGAAATCGACTTTCATGGATAATCAGAACCCGGGCTTTTTCAGACTCAGGACTTTTACCTTAATACGTGTATGAATGAATCAACAAATAACTCACAGAAAATGTCACTGAACACTATGCCGAATAACGAAAACCTAAAAAAATGGATAAAACAAAGTGATGAACAAAATGATAATATCCTGTAACATGCAGATCAGAATAACTGAAAAACTTTGACCACAGGTCTGCGATTGAGCTTTTTTTGTTACATCTTATCATGCATTATGTTTCACTGTGACCAATGAATATTGGGAAAAATGGATCCTAAATGAAAACGAGTACAGTGGAGAAAGGTTCTTCATTTGAACCGCCATCTTGCCCCTGTGACAGACGGTTCTCAAGGATGTAAATGACTGGGCAGGGGGGCACCCCAAGGAGATCCTCGTCCTGGCTTTGTCCCACTTCCATGGGTTTGACAAAAATGTTGCAGAGCAGCTCCACAGACATCTCACCAGCTTCATTGTGACCTTGTTTGGAGCCAAACTCATCCATAAAAGGGTGAAGTATACCGAATGCTTCCGTCAGTATCAAGTCATATCTCGTCATGAAACGGACGCTTCGGATGTTTTCAGGTGGTGTTGTTAGTCAGTGTGTTACTACCTACAGAAGGTTGGATTAGATATTTCCATTATTTCCATTTCCTTTGTCTATGTTCTCTTCAGAGCTGTACAAGACTCCTTTGATAAAACCAGTAAATCTACGTTGTAGAACACAGGAGTTGCTGGTTACCCGGTGCTTTGACCGGTTACTATGTTTGTGTATCGGAGGGTGAATCTGAACCGGTCGAGGACGAGTTAGACCAGAAACATCCTTGTTCTGAAAAGGTAAAATTACTGTTTTTGTGGTCTGAGAGCGTTAAATGGAGTATTACAACTTCAGTACCCTGTCAAACGGGAAATGTATCGTGCACACGGCAGTACTTTACTTCCTGTTCCTGTCTGGATCTCCAAACTGTGGCCATTTTGACCCGGCAACCCCATATCTAAACATCTGAAATATCCCTTCAAAAGTTTTAATTTGAAGTAATTAAAAGCCTTCAAATACAGTTCCAAAATAAAATCTGTATCTCCACAGGACATTCCTACCCTGAAGAGTTGCTGGGACAAAGGCAGAAACGTCATAGTCTCATACGACTCAAGGCAACATTTCAACGAGCTGTGGAGTAAAATACCGTATTACTACGGCAATAGTATGAACACCAGAGACGTTGAATCCAAACTGTGTCAGTTTTTGGAGAAGCCGAGTCCTGCTCAGTGTGAGTTTCTTATTTGTCTTGTAAAACATGTTACATGGAACAATCGCTGACCCCCACCATGACCCTGCAGCTTTCTTTGTGTGCGGCCTGAACCTAACGCTGCCGGAGAACGCCAGGATACTCCTGTACATCCTCCGCCCATGTGACAACCTAGTCAAAGTCATACGGAGGAGTCTGCCGAGGCTGCTGCGGTGGGTGGAGCAGCAAGCCGCCAAGACGCCCGTGAACATTGTGGCCTCGGACCTGGTGACCCGTGATGGCTTCGTACCCACGATTATCAAGCTCAATACTTCCAAACGCGTGAAACCATAAGGGGAAACCAAATCTCAATGGGTTGTTCAATAAGTAATTTCCCTTCATATTTTTTTATATATATACTATTTTATAATATATATATACTATTTTATAATATATATATATATATATATATATATATAATATTTGTGTATTTGCTGTCCTGCTCCCTCATTAAACACTGATATGCTTTGAGAAGAACAACCCATGTTGTGGCTGACGCGCGCCACCCTGCGTCAACTTGTGATATTGCAATAAAATGTTCGTCTCTTGCCTGAAAGTTTTGGCTGGTCCGTGTCAACTAAGTATCCAAAGCCCTGCTCGTCTCTTACCAAGGCGCTGGGAGGATTAGGATGATACGAGTGGCGTGGCGTCGGTCGGCGTCCACAAATAGCCGCGTGGAGCACGCACGCCGTTTAGCCGCGGCTTTCCTGAGAGCCGAGAGTCCTCAGCAGAACTCCGGGGGTCACGTTAGGTGTTTCAGACTCCTGCACCCACCCGACGAGAGGTCACCGCTCCACCGCCATCCACGGGCGGCCTGCTACGTCAGGTAAAGCCACCGAGGCTAATAGATGGCTAACGCTTTCGTTAGACGTGCGTTACTTGGTCCCGGTCAACGTGTCTAATTAGGCCACGTTAAATGAACATTGTCAATGTCGATGGACGTCATGTTGCCTGCTGCGTCTACCGTAGCACCGCATTGGGCAAACGGAAGATGCGTGGCAAACTCCGGTAGCGAATTACACTATTTAATATGGCCTTCGCATGAACCGTTCCCAGGTGGCATGCCACTGTGAGGAAATACCTTTAATGGAGTTCCAAATGCCTCTTATTTGAATTCCGTGGAACAAGATAAGACGCTCATTTCGAATATTAACGTTACATGTCTTTTCCACCAGGTTTGCCTAGCAACCCCAGCCTTGCAGTGTACAAATCTATGCTAGCTTAAACCTAAATGACGTCGAATTTCTAGTCCATACTTTGTCCGTGTGTCACAGCTATTTCGGCCGAATTGTAGGACGTAGTCTAATGTATTGGATACTGTCTTCTGTCGTTAGTCATGGAGCATTTGCTTGTGACTACAACTAATAAGACATTAAATGATATGATATTCAAACGGAAGTTGGCGTGGCTAGCCGCCACAGCGCGCGGCTGCAGCAGCAGCAGCAGCTGTAAGCGGCGGAGAGGATATTATGCACGCTGGTTTAAAGACTAATAGTGTTAAGTCCACTGTTAGCTGGTGTCCACCTTGTCAAACCAATGATACCTTTTTAAGAGCAGCCAGGCTTACGTGCCACCGATAGCAGGAGAAACACAAGTGTACCAATATGGCCCCAAAAACCCATTTCCACAGTCCGATGAGGGAATAAGCGCTGAATCATCTAAATGAAATAGTCATATTGTAAATGGCAATTCAAAAGGTCATATTACTTCTCATTCCTCTTTGGACTAACGTTTGTCAGCGTTCAAATTGCATTGATATTTCACTGAATAACTAATGACAGAAGGGGATCTTCGAGCAACGAAGTGCACACAAAATAACCCTTTTGTGAGATGTTTTTCTTTTGCAGGTAGTTGCCCTCGATCAGTGACTCAAATTATGCTTATTTTGCATCCAGCTCATCCGTCTTCATGAGCATGGCGTCCGAGGGGACACCCTCCCCCCCCCACAAGCACACCAACAGGTTGGCCGAGGAGAGGTCGCCCTACCTGCTCCAACACGCTCACAACCCAGTTGACTGGTGAGGAACCGATGGCGACACATTTTTGTAAAGCTAATACATTGTTGCCCCCGTGAACCAACGTCACACTTGTTTCAGGTATCCATGGGGACAAGACGCTTTTGACAGAGCAAAGCATGAAGACAAGCCCATCTTTCTATCAGGTAGACAGCACTTCTCCCACCTGGCTTTATCGTGCATTTCATTCTGGGGCCTCCTCTCCCAGAATAAATCTTTCAGTGAGGAGAAAAAGATAAATGACGCCGTGCAGATTGAACCGTTACACATGGGACACAACGCACTTGTTTTCACGCGGCGTCACGCCGACTTGCAGTAGTTTTGCTTGTCCTGTAAATGTCTCATATGATTGCTGTAAATCTGTGTGACCCTCAGTGGGCTACTCAACGTGCCACTGGTGCCATGTTATGGAGAGGGAGTCTTTCGAAGACGAGGAAATTGGCAAAATCCTGAGTGACCACTTTGTCTGCGTCAAAGTGGACAGAGAGGAGAGACCCGACGTGGACAAGGTCTACATGACCTTTGTACAGGTGTGTGTGTGCACACCACTTTGGGGTGTATTCCTGCCCCAGCATTTGCATCTCCTGCGGTTACTCTCATGACCACAGGCAACGTGCGGCGGCGGAGGTTGGCCCATGAGCGTGTGGCTGACCCCTGACCTACGACCTTTCATTGGGGGCACCTACTTCCCACCCACGGACCACGGCAGAAGACCTGGGCTCAAAACGGTTCTCAACCGAATCATTGAACAGGTAAAAGTTTCAACCGCTTGTGTTCGATCCATTTAATCTGTACCTTCCTTCAGATGTAACTTGTATCCGTTGGAGGGCCTGGTCGGGATTATTTGAGCTGACAGCGATCGTTTTCCGTTGGCGTTGCGGTTCCACAATGAAAGCCCAGAACCTTTGTGTTATCGTGCTGCATATTCACTTTGAAACTGTTCTGCTACATTGGTCCTGGGAAATAAATTCAGGCCTATTTGTTGTTCTCTCTGAGTTTTTAAAGTCTTCAGACAGAACACGTGTGCCTTCTCATCCCCAGTGGCAGAACAACCGGCCCGCTCTGGAGTCCACCGGAGAGAGGATCCTCGAAGAACTGAAGAAAGGCACGGCCGTGGCCGCCAAGCCAGGAGAGAGTCCCCCGCCGGCCCCGGAGGTCGCTAACCGCTGCTTCCAGCAGCTGGCGCACTCCTACGAGGAGGAATACGGCGGCTTCAGAGACGCTCCGAAGTTCCCCACGCCAGGTTCGCCCCGCAGGAGCCCCGCAGGGAACACGTGTCAGGCTTCTGCTGCTGCTGAGTACTCATCATGTGACCTGTGTTTCAGTGAATCTGATGTTCCTCATGTCTTACTGGTCTGTGAATCGCTCCACCTCCGAAGGGGTGGAGGCCCTCCGGATGGCTTTGCACACGCTCCGCATGATGGCGCTGGGCGGCATCCACGACCACGTGGCTCAGGTCCGTGCACATTGGGATTAGACGTTTTCTTTTTAAAAGAACCTATTCGGGGGTCATTTTTGGCCTTTGGAAATCACAACCGGCCTTCATCACTGCTCTGATAAACAAAAAGTTAAGACAATATAATAAAAAACATCTGTTGCAGCTGGAATGCTCTATTCTGTTCTGACAGGCCAGATGTGTGTTTGCATATCTAATGGCAGCAAGAAGCTTATGTTGCCCAAGATAATATGGTACAGTTAAGTTAGTGTGAAAAAGTATATGCTGCATTTCTCTTTCTGTCCCTCTTCTGCAGGGTTTTCATCGCTACTCTACAGATTCCTCCTGGCACGTTCCCCACTTTGAGAAGATGTTGTACGACCAGGCCCAGCTGGCTGTAGCCTACATAGCTGCCTCCCAGGTCTGTGTGTGTGTTCCTTTTTGACAGTGATTATCTCCTCCATCATACTGTCAGCAGAAGTCAACGTTATGAGACTTGGTAGACGTTTTGTTTTTTCTTCTAGTTACATAATGACTGTGAAGGAGCTAATGCAAACGTGTGAGGGTGTCAGTTTTTTTTAATTATCTCCAGAAAAAAGGGCCATTCAATTATATTTAAACCCAATCTCCACTCCGATGAACAGTTTTGAATATGAGGCCGCACTATGAGCTTATATCTGAACTCTTGCAGGTATCAGGTGAGCAGCTCTTTGCAGATGTGGCTAAGGACATACTGCTCTACGTCTCCAGAGACCTGAGTGACAAGGTGAGTTACCTACTTTGTGTGTGTGTTTATTTGACTAGTACTGTGGGGACCAGGTGTCCTCACCTGTACCCCAGCGTGATGTCAGTTAAAGACACAGTTTAGATTTTTTTTCAAGGAGGGTTGTTTGAAGCACTTTCCTTTCCCGTCCTTTATTAACCTCCATTACCTCCATCAGTTTAAGTTGTTACATGTTGTTCATGTCTTATTCTCTTGACCTCGCAGAACGCAACACAACGGTGAAATGTTTTTGTTCATTCCCATTTAAAGGAATTATTAGAAGGCAACTTAGGTTCAAATATAATGTAATATTGTGTACACAAGCACTTTTTGGCTCTGTTGTTTCCGTGCCGACTCCCTTGAAGGGTTAATGGGGCAGTTTGAAATGGATGCTGACTGCAAGACATTAAAAATTGAGCTATAGAAAATGTTGCTTTTATTTGTATCTGCTGCTGACGAAGGAAAAAACTCCACCGGAAGATTGTTTGCGCCTGTGAAAGGGTTTATTGTAAAGAGTAAAGACTTTAGTTTTTTAAGCGCCGTATTTGTTTTTAGTTTAAACTCTTTATTCCAGTGTCTACTCACCACTGAGTAAAGCCCCTGGGGGTCAGCAAAAAACACCATTTTTAAAAGGGTGTGAAGTTAAAACGCATGAATCTAAAAAAAAAAAAAAGATCCCAGGTCTCTCGGACACCCTTGGTGACTTTTTTTCCCCTTTTTTTTTGTTCTCCTTTTAATTAATGAGTCGACAGCATGAATGCAGCACACAATTAATACCACACTCCGTCCCCGAGATTTATTATGTAATTATGCGCTAATGAATTAACGCCGCAAAGGTTACTGCCTGTAGCCCGTGCAAGTGTTGAGATGTCCGCTCGGCGGGGTGGACTTCTCACCGCGGCAGTAAAAGATGCTGCGAGCGGCTCCCATGACACCTTTTTTATAATGAGGTTCTTCAGAGGTATTGACGTGCTGTCGCCGTGATGTAAGCTCCGAGGGGCCTCCGATGAGGGACTTTGTCCACAGCTGTCCGAACCTTCTGAGGTGCTGATTGATTCCTTGATTAGTGTCACACTTGTCGTTTTGGGTCTTAACCTTAAACGTTTCTTGTGAGCTGTTCAGTGAAAATGAAGTCCAGAGATGAATACTTGTCATAATATGTCTTTTATTTTTGAGATTCATGTATTTTAATGAATCCCCTGCTAACTGTGGCTTATCTCAGTCATGAGACCTTTCTGTTGGGATTTAATAGATAGCTGGAATAAAGCTTAAAAAAATGATTTGCTTTTCTTTACAATACACGATTAGTTTTCACCATCATATATGAACCATGTGACCACGGATTGTTTACTGTGGAATACGCTGTATGTACGGAAACAAAGACCTCTGAGCCCGGAAAGATTGAGTAGCATCTCCTCCCATCCCTCCTCTCTCCTCCCATCCCTCTCTACGCCCCCGACCCAGTCCGGAGGCTTCTACAGTGCCGAGGACGCAGACTCCGTCCCGGCGTCGGGGGGTCCAGAGAAGCGCGAGGGGGCGTTCTGTGTCTGGACCGCCTCAGAAGTTCGAGAGCTGCTGCCGGATGTGGTGGAGGGCGCCACAGGAGCTGCCACGCAGGCAGACATCTTCGCGCACCACTACGGGGTCAAGGAGCAAGGCAACGTCGCTCCGGAACAGGTCGGTCGGAATGGCGCCGCGTCGCGTCACGTTGGCCCGTTGCAGCTGCTCGTCGGGCTCCAAAGAACTCTGATGTCATGTCCTTTACATCACAATCTGATCCGTTGGTTGCCAGGACCCCCACGGGGAGCTGCAGGGCCAGAACGTGCTGATCGTGCGTTACTCGGTGGAGCTGACGGCCGCTCGCTTCGGCCTCAGCGTGGAAAGAGCCGAGGAGCTCCTGGCCGAGGCCCGGGGCCGGATGGCCAAAGCCAGGGAGGCTCGGCCACGCCCACATCTGGACACCAAGATGTTGGCCTCCTGGAACGGTGAGGCCCAGATAACGCCACAAGACGAGGGCGCCCGTGCACAGACACACTAAAGGCGTCACGTAGCAGGAAAACGCACAGGTGGCGTTCTGTGTATTTGTGCTGTTGCGTGTGTCTCTTTGCTTTTGTGTTGCTTTGGGGTCATTATGTGTATTTATTTGTTGTTAAACATTGTATGATTTCTTTCTGTTTGTTGTGTTTCTATCTTTCTTTGTTACATCTCTTGACAGCTTTTTTTAAGTCTCTGTAGTTGTTGTTTTTAGGACTGTAGTCATTTGTGTCTTTTTGGTTGTTTTTACCTCTTATAGTTGTGAGTCGTCTGTTTTGTGTCCCTTTGCAGCTGCTTTGTAGATGTTCTTTTAGTCATGTTGTGTCTTTGTGGTTGAGTCTAGCAGCCCTATTGCATCTCTTTGTAGTTGTTTGGTCTTATTCCTTGTCCCCTTCATCTCTTTGGAGCCATTTTAAGATTCCTAATGGTCATTTTAAATCTCTTCCTCATAAATAGCAAATTAGTCTCTGAGTAACACTTTAGTCCTGCTCAGGGATCCATCCTTGCCACAATAACGGTTCTTTTATGATAACGTGATGCTTTACTTCACGAGCCACCACAGTTTAGTGTCAATGAATGTTTGCAGGCCATCTGGCAACTTTGCCACAGGGACAAATGCTGCACATGCTAAACGGGGCCTGACAGTTCTGATCAGAGGGGGTGTCCTTTTGGTTCCCCCTGTACAGTTCTAATTTCGAGTTTATAGTTTGAGAGTTGTGTGTCATTATTTTGCAATGTAAAACAACTAAAAGACCTCCTTGAATTATGTCCCTTTGACACACTTTAGAATATGTCAGTGTAATGTAGTGATCATCCCAACCAAGCAGCGATCGGATGGTAATCCATCTACTCGGTGGGATAATTAGGCTGAAAAAATGTGACACCTGGATCATTAAATATCAAAATAAGCGTTTTGAATTCTGTGGTACAGCCACTTGAATTTCAATAGCCTTCAGTTTGCTTATCCTTTTCTTTCATAGTCAACTTTTTTCATCCCACAATACCAGACCACATTGAATCAGTTCATAACTAAAGGTCCACGTCGATGGTACCAAACTGCTTCAAGTCACAAAACCAAAGCCAAATATACAGTTGTGTGTGTGTGTGTGTGTGTGTGTGTGTATGTGTGACAAATTTGCTTTTGATCTGTTGTCACTTTCCATCATCGTGATGCCAATTTGGTGCCTCTTGAACATTGTTGGTCCATCACATTGTCTCAGAGGTGATAATTACCACAACACAAAGCTGACACACACACACCAACCAGCTAATTTTTCTCCCAGGGCTGACGTCTCAAGGCAAAGTTTGTTAGTGAGGAAATTATGTTTTGCGACGCCAAGAACTTTCCAATTAGACGCGAGACTCTCCTCCTCTTCTCTAATGAAGAAACCCCTCCATTAATCACCTGTTCCCGGCCACAACACTTTGAAGACCAGGCTGTGCAGTCAACCAGACTTTGATTCGCTACATGAAAGAGGAGTGCGGGGAAAGGGGAAAGAGGGAAGAGGGAAACTTCAAAGCGTGGGGAGAAGTAACTGAGCTGGGACCACCCACTTGAACCTCTGCCGACAGAAGACACAATGTTTTAGAACGAGTAAAGGTCCTTTTTATAATGAATGACTCCCCCTCAGGTCTCATGCTGTCTGCCTACGCCACTGTGGGAGCCGTGCTGGGGGACAAGGCCTTGCTGGAGAGGGCGGTGCAGGCGGGCAACTTCCTCAGGGAGCACCTATGGGACGCCGAGCGGCAGACTATGTTCAGGTCCTGTTACCGTGGAGACGAGATGGAGGTGCAGCAGATGTAAGAGAATGGCCGCCGTGAGATCGCACCACCTGGGTCGTCCTGGGCGCGTGATGAAACCGTTTTAGCTCGGCGCTTCATTTCTGGCACCTCGGTATTCAGATGAGGACAAGACTTACCTTTTCATTTTCAGGTCGACGCATCAGGAATTCACCGGTATGAATGCATGAGGTCATAAACAACGCAATGTTTTGGTATAGTGCTTATCTCTCTTAAGAAGTAACAAATAATTGTGGCAGTTTCGGTGAGGGGGGGGGGGGGGGGGGCTGTCCTGTCAGTCACGAAGCAACAGTGCGGTTCCATTGTGCCGGGGTCGACTGGCTGTTTATGTTCAAACAGGAAACGAGGATATTGGTTGAAATCAGGTTATGGCAGGAAATCCGAGAACATGTTCACATGCACTGCAGTAACCCGGTTAGTGTAAATCTGCATTTATCCGCACATGTCGGTAATGAGATTTCTCCTCCAGCCTCCATCAAACCGCATTAGAAACGAGATGGGCCTGATTCTAAATGGATTATAGATAGCTGTCGAATGACATGGGATTTTTTGTACTGAAGGCACATGGTGAAGAGCAGCTCTGTGGCGGGAGAGAATCTGCAGGGTGGCATGCATTTTCATTTTAAAGGAAAAAATGGAGCTGTATTCATATTATTTGTTGTATTCTTTTTTTTTTTACCCGACAACCCCCCCCCCCCCCTCCCCTCTGATCATCTAGGGGTCCGTTGATTAGACGAAGCTAGAATCGCCTCGAAGCCTGCGAACCTAAGCAGTAAAACTGTTGATCGCACCGCCCCGGGTGGGCTCCCTTCGTTTGCCCGCCCCGTGGCCCACTTACCGGGTGTGATGGAGTGTGAAATGCCACCGAAACAGCATAAGAAAAATGAAACGAATGATGAAAAGCATTAGGGAGTGCTGCACACTGGTGCCTAAACACGGCGGGCTTCCTTCCCAGATCTCAGCCCATTCATAAGTGTCCGTCCCCTGGTGGCGCTCACAGGGGCCGGTTTCTCAAGTCTGGGTTAGTGGGCGAACCACTCCGTCATGGCCGGCACACCAGGACACGTTGTCCAGGGGGGATGCTAGGTGCTGAGACACAGTGGGTTAATAATGGAGGTGTTGGGGAGCTTCCCTCCGGCGCTGGATGCGCGAGACTCTTCTGGGACCAGCGGGGAGGCCCGAGACGGTGGCGGGTTGCCAGTGGGACACCGGTGATGTTCCTCTCATCCTTTGCTCCACTTGTCTTTGGTCGTACTGCATTGTTCTCATTAGGAATTTCTTAAATAGCATCAATCACACTTTTGGCAATATAGTTTGTCAATTAATAGGACGGCACAATTATTGTGATATTAATTGCCTTCACTGTGTCCCACACATTAATTAAATACTACCAGTTAGCCACCAGGGGGCAGTCAAGATGTCACAGCGGTGGTCTGGCAGTGGATGGCAGTTCTCCTCATTTTATTTATCATTAATGTTATTTAAAGGGTAACAATGTCACGCGGTGTAATGCAACAGTACATTCTGTGGCACGAGCGGTTCTCTAACGTAAAGCTCACCGCTGCTGTAAAGCTGATGGGGGTCGGATGTGTTGACGTGACCCCCCGATTCGTTTTCCCCATCGAAAGCGGAGAAGCTAGTGTATGAGAGGATCACCAAGGAGCTTTTATTGTTATTGTTTATTGCCGCGCTACGATATTGTTGCTACGATTTGCATTACTTATGATGCAAAATGAAAGAAGCATCAGCATTTTGTGATGACCTGTCTCAGGATTTCAATACCATTTTACTCTCGACATACGTGATCCGCATCGTAAGAGGTGTGACAAGTTGGTCCAGTCTAGTTGAGTTTGGGACTATGCTTCCCATAGAAGAAACATGAACAAGGAGAAGAAAATATAACAGGTTCATGAACATGAACCTGTTATATTTTCTTCTCCTTTTTGCGAAACACTTCTAATAATAAGTTCCACCATGTTGAGTTGAGGTTTATTGTTGAATTCTCCTTCTGAATAGAATTCAAGAAGTGTGTTTCCGACTCAGTCCAGAAGAGGCGCCACGGATGAAATCAAATTGGTTTGGCAGTTGGTGTGAAATTCGCAGCGTCTGATAAAGATCTCCTCACAGCTGCTTCTCCATGGACGCATCCATAGTGTTATCAGGCACAGAGCCATTAGCATGGCACACTTTTGTATTGACCTTGCACCGTCCACAGTGGAAAAGATCTTGGAAAAGATATGACCCCTCACCTCTCAAAGCTCCCCAAATCCTCTCTGCCCCACCTGACATGCCTCACCTGGCTTCCTTCCGCCATCCGTTCAGGAACCTTGATGTGCCTTGTTTTTGACGTGTAGGAGTGATCGAGTTGTAAATCGCTTTCAATAAATGCTACCGTGAGCAGGTGGTGAATTTTGACTGTTTAAGAGCACATTTGAGGTGAATGTAAGAGGGTGAGAAGGTTTCCTGAGAAAGTGTCGAGGGAGATGCAGATAAAGTGGGGATCTGCGGCGGGTTTGGACGCTCCACAACGTGTGTAAACGCCTCATCCACGCCGAGTAAAGAGAAGGCAGATGAGTTATTTCCCTTTGAGAAAGATGCTGCAGGGAAGACATTACACTCAGTCCTCCACGCGCGTCATGATGAAGCCCCCGTACTGTCACAGATTACTCCTTGAGGCTTTTTATTATCCACGCCAATTTGTCTGGGTTTTCCTACACTTCCTCGGTTTAAACCACAGCTCAAGCCTCTTCAAGCTCAACGATTTCCCCGACAGTAACCCGTCTCATCTATTGACACGTCGTTAATTACGAGCGTCCTCCTTCTCGCTGACCTGCCGCCCCCTCTTGCCTCTCGTCTCCAGATCTCCGCCCATCTCCGGCTTCCTGGGCGACTACGCCTTCGTCGTCCGCGGCGCGCTGGACCTGTACGAGGCCACGCTGCAGACGGAGTGGCTGCGCTGGGCCGAGGAGCTGCAGCTCCGGCAGGACGCGCTGTTCTGGGACCAGCAGGGCGGAGGCTACTTCTGCAGCGACCCCAGTGACGGCACGGTCCTGCTGCAGCTCAAAGAGGGTGAGGAGAGGAACGCATCAACGCTGGTCCGGATGTTGAACACTAGGGCTGTCAAAATTGCTCAAAAAGGACGTTCGAATATTCGTTTTTCGAATATATTTTAATATCTGGTTGCGCATTAGGCGCGTCAATAACAGGACACATTTATACAACGAGAGATAACTACTTGTATAGGTGATTAATTTAAGTTTAAACCTATTATTTAACAACATATTACCTGCACAAGAATAAGTAAATTAACTAACGGCCAAGACCGCAGGTCTCTCACGCTCTCTCTCTCTCTCACCGTCGCGCTCTCTGCGCAAAGCGGTTTAAATGAACGACAACAATAAACAAATGCAGAGTGCTGAAGAGTTTTGTGCAAGCAGTTCAAGGTTGCGATTCTTGTCCCACATATGTCATGCTTCATTCAGTGATTTAAACCGAAGGTTTTACAGTACCGACATTAAACGCTCCGAGCGAGCTGTGCTGTAAACACAGAACTTTTCCGTGGCATGAAACGGCAAATCGAACCAGTGCATGAAGCTGTTGTAGCCTATTCTGGTCTATTTTATTCATGCAATACACAGTAGTCCGCTAAGCAGACGGTCGCGCTGCCGTTTTTTTAATTAAAATTTTTTTTATACATTGGAATATTAATTTTCACATATAGAATATTTGATGACAGCCCTATTGAACACGGAGCCCTTTTTACGCTGTCGAGCTCGTTGAGCCGGTGCATGTAAACGTTGGCGGGACGGATTAATACATTAATACAACAGTAGTCACATTTTTGATAGATGAGGAGATTAAAGGTATCGCCTATGTAGACAAATTGGTTGTAAATAGGCCAATTTAGAATTGATGGATAAAATATGCCTATCCCAATATAAGAAATTACAACACACCTTCTTCTGCGAGAAGAACTCCCAATAAATAATGTCTATGTGACATTACTAGACCCTATTTGAAGTACTATTTGGTCATTTTTTGGGAGAAATACTTTTGACGTTGATTACCATGGCAACGGCTTTGAAACATTCGGGTCAGCCGTGCAGTGCAGTGATTAAGTCCTAAACCAAAGTTTGGGACCATTACATATTTTAAACTGACGACGGTGTGAGAAGAAACGTTAAGCCATCACCAACGCCATTGACTCCACCGAATTCTGTGGCCTCCATCCAGTAGCTGACAAGACATTTTCACCAAACAAACGAATGTCCGCCTCGTGGGGGGATAAGCGATGTCGATGGCCTCCGTCCTCCATGAAAATATGTCGGGGTATTTCAGTCTGGATCGACTACAACAGTAACCGTATCATTCACCTGTATAAAAGGAACAAGGCCTTGATGCTGTTGTTGAGAGATTCGGGGAAGAATTGATGGACAAGTGATGGATTAACGGTACCACTGGAGCATAACTCTGTGGCTTAGACAGGGATGGATAGCTCAGACAGATGAACAAATACAGAGTTTTAGGCCTGCAGACAGTTGATCAATATCAGCTAGGATCAGCGTGTGAATGGATTGATGAACAGGGAGTGGACATAAGAGAGCACAGGAATATTGACAACCCCCCCATCTACCTCCAGTAAAGTGCAACCGTCTCTCACTCAGGCGGAACTTCTCCACCATTAAGCACTCAAAGCCTGATGCTCCCGATTCTTCAGCTACTTTTATTGCCCGACATGTCAAATCTGTCTCCATTGTGACTCCATCTGGCAAACTGAAATCTCATTCCTCCACTTCCTGCTGGATCCTTTTGTTTAAAAACTTTATTTTCCTCCTTTTTGACCTCTGGTGCCCTTAAATCAGCACTTTGAGCTCAGTTGTTCGATACACCATTGAGTAAATGTATAAATAAGATATAAATGAAATGATCCAACCATTTTTATTATAACTTAGGGAGGAAAAGATTGATGAGATATAAATAGAAATGTGTCTTAACATGACACTCAAAGAGGCTCTCCTTTATCTGCCGGGCCACTCGTTCAACTGATGGATGCTGACAGTTCAGAGAAGCTCACGCTTTGAGGCCATGAAGACGTTTACCTTTGATCCATCAAAGTCTGCAAGATCGGCCAGTTTCCACTTTGGATCGAGGTGTTTGGCATCTTCTTTTTGGTTTTGTCTCGAGCCACTCTGAAAGGGGACATCTATTTTCGAGTTCAAATCACCTTCACCCCGGGGGGGGCTCTTCTCAGCCAGATAGAGCAAGTGGAGAGGTCCATCGCTGACCCGCCTAGTTGGAATTCTCTGTGCAGAAATCAACCGCCTCAAATGTTGAGAAGTGCAAACATATCGCAGGTTAATTGTGAAACTGATGGGCTGCATGTAATTTATGGGAAACGTTGCAGCACGTGCTTCTCTCTAATGGGACTCCTCTGGCGGCAAAAAACATGTCACATTGTACAGAAGTTCATAAGAAAAATGACTTCTCAATTGATCATCACATCAGTAAACATTGCGGCGTTCCTTCGGTGACGTACATTTTTAAGTCGCAATTGAGCTGCAGACACACAGTCACATACTACGCCTCAAAATGCCGTCCAAATGTGCTAACTTGTGTTGGCTGCAGCTGAAATCGGTGGCTAAACTTGAGGCCTCAACACCACAGTCCCCAAACCAGTCACGTTTACGTCTTCCACTTCCTAAATACGGTCTGTATTCCTACAACTGGTCATCTACAGTGTATACGTTCGTATAATAATAGTATTAATACTAAATGCACTTCATGATTCATCACCACTCCAACACTGATCTTTAAACTCTAAGCTGAGTATATCGTCAGCTGTAATGTCCCAGCTGTCACGGTGCTGCATTTCTCCACCTAAAAAGGAAAGACGTGCTCGCTACCTCGTGTGCCTTTGACAGATAGCTCGCTGCAACTAGTTGAGACGGGAGCATCGTGCCACAGATGGGCGGGCGAGCAGGACAGCAGGAGAAAAGCTAATAGTTATTCTTGTTAGGAAGTGTGTGTGTGTGTGTGTGCGCACGTCCATGCGCGCCGTCACACCTGCACCCGCGTGTGTTTATCGGAGCTGACGTGTGAGAGGTTTCTCATCTCAGAGGGTTGACTGTGCCGTTATGGCGCCGGCGCTGTGTAGGGTTGAAGCCCATTAGTGACGCCGCGGCAGTGTAGACGGCTGTCACTGCAAGACGGATTACCCCCCCCACACGCTGCCTTTTGCAGCCCTCCCCTGTGTGTGTTTTAGCTTTTTTGAGTGCGGTTGAAATGGTATCTCTTGTCCATGTCAGTGTGGAACTGCCGTGTGTGGAGAGATAACCAAACAAAAAAAAAATTGTAAAAATTAACTTTTTGTCTGAAAGTAAGGGGGGGGTAGTTATAATGGTAGGGAAAACACTGATATATAGACCCCTGTTAATAACATTTATTCATGGTGTTTTCCAGGATTCTTTATTTACCTACTTTATAGTGAACACTTTGGAGCTCGATAGTGCTTTCGGTGCAGTTTCTGGGCTTTTGTGTGACTAATGAGTCTGTTTTGTTGTGAGTTTTTTTTCGGTTCTTTTTTAAGAAATGCAACTAACAAGAAACAGCTGTAACAGCTCATTGTAAGAAATATGGAAGTCTTTTTGTTTTTGTGTCTTTTAATAGAAACCGCAGTCCACATATGGTTGTTGTACCGTATTGGTCCACTGTTGGTAATATAAGAGTGTGTGTGTGTGTGCGCGCACTTTTGGGTGTTTAGAAGGCAGTTTTGTTACAGCTGTTTGTGTGTAGACGACCTCGTTCCATGGGGCTCTTTAACAAAATAAATATGTGCAGCGTGTTTAGTATGTTGGGGCGTCCTCGCCATCGGGCCCAAGGAGAGAAGAAACAGTTGGGTCATGCGTGGGAAATGAATGCTTGTCATCACGCTTACTGTATGTTCAATGCACAGGACAGTTTCAAGGGAGGGCCCGCGTTGCTATTTTGATTTTCATATTGTAGTTTGACCTAAAATGTGGCTTGTGTCAGGTACCGACATGATGATCGTCTCTCTCACACACACACACACACACACACACACACACTTTCACATTGATAGACTGTGGCTCCAGAGCATTGCTGGGAAGCAGACATGCAGCGGGTTCATGGGTTATGAGAAGATCACCTCCAGGCACTCATTGGACGCTGACATAAGACCGATCACTTAACAGCGCCAGGTCATGAGGTCATCTGTTGGTCCCATCACAGCACACCTCTCATAGACTGGGATGGTTACTACGGTACAGGCATAATACACGCTGTGCCTCCATTGTATTTGACACATATTTTGTGCCTGATTATTATCTGCATCGGCACAGAACATAAAAAGACTGGAGAAGGAAAGCAATGAACCGGCTTTATGTTTCGTTTATGTTTTCTGACAAAACAAATGTCGCCCCAAGAGTGAGACGATGAGATAACATTTGATCCATGTTCACAAAATGATTCCGATGTTGTTTTCACCGTGACTCAATTGAGTAGCTGGATAATGTAATGGAGACCAAACATGATCCTAAACGCTGTGGGAATATTTAGTCAGGCAGCCAGATATAAAAGTAAAATGCAGTTGTTGCTGTGTGTCTGCTGGATGTTTCACATTAGCCAAAGGTTGGATTCAAATTGTTGTTCCATTTAAAGCAATCAATGCACATTAAGCAAAACTTAGCAAAGTAGATTGAAGGCAAACCAAACTTATCGCTCCCATTTTGTATTAATTATCAGAGAAAAACGTTTTTTGAGTATTTTAAGTAGCCATGCCTTAACTAAGCAAATAGCCTCTCCCATTTAAAGTTCTTCTATTAGCATACATCACCGCGGCGACCCCTGCGAGATGCAGATTATAACGAAAGAACATAAAAATGTGTGTGTCCGTGTGTATCCCTCCCTCAGATCAGGACGGCGCTGAGCCCAGCGCTAACTCTGTGTCGGCGTCCAATCTCCTGCGTCTGTCCCACTACTGTGGCCGACGGGAGTGGCTGCAGAGGTCCCAGCAGCTGCTGGCAGCGTTCTCCGACCGTCTGACCCGGGTGCCCATCGCGCTGCCTGAAATGGTCCAGGCCCTCATGGCCGAGCACTCTGAGCTTCAACAGGTTAGTCATAGTCTTAATCTGAGCTAGAGGCCGGCGAAACCATGAGCAAGAAGCAATGGTCACACGTCTGAACAGAACCGCCGCTGGGCTCGTGTCGCGTCCTGCCGCTGAAGGACGATCTGATGAAGGCTAGAACTTCTAACTTGAGTTGCAGGCTGACACTCTGATACGAGCGGTGGAAAATGGCCGTCAAGTACCAAGTTTTGTTAACCGGCGCCATGAATTTATTGGATTATTTCTGCGGTCACCTAATCGTATTTGAATTAGCATCACGCTCAGTTTGCCTGAAACCACCAAAAGCCGCAAGTGATTTCTTTCATGTTTCTTGGTATAACAAAACTTTCAGTGGGCAGCGATGTGCAGTGCAGTCAAAAGAACCGGTGAGTGAAGTAACCGGAGTGGGCTCACCTCACCGTGAGGAGGGTAGGGAGCTTTCTGTCAGCCATAAATGACCAGCGGAGGACAATTCGGGGGGGGCTACGGGGCGAGGCTAACAAGCTCGGGGGCGAGGCAGTCACCGAGGAAACACCTGCCGCCGCTCATTACTGCCGCGAATCCAGCGCTGACCTCCATCGCCTCCACCACCGCTGTGTCACCTTTCCCGTCTTACTTCGCTCTATTCACTCGTTATCTCTCCGTCACTCTCCTCTGTGTTCTTTTTCATTTTTATTTAGATCGTGATCTGTGGCCAGAGGGATGCCCCGGACACCAGCAGTCTTCTAGCAGCAGTCCACTCCCTCTTTCTACCCCATAAGGTAAAAAGTGTGTGTGTGTTCCGGTGACAGAGCGATGCATCATCGTGACAAACTTGCGTGTCATCAGAAACCAAAACCCGCCACGAAAGATCAAGTTGCAGCGGAAAGACACGCGATTTCATTAAATCCAACATCAGCCCTTTTATGAATCCATTTCTTTTTAGTAGCAGCAGATTCCCAGTAACCTTTAGAAAGGGACACAATCACAGACACACACAGATGCAGAGTGGGGCCGAGCTGGAACAATGCCTGGGGTGTTGGCTGGTGTAGGTGTGGTTGTGTAAAGGTCGTCTCCTCTCCTTTCCTCTGTGTATTAACATCCCTCTTCGTGCATTAGCTGACTTCACAGGCTCTGCTCACATCCAGATGGCCTGTAGTTCCAAGTGTTAACTCTTCACTTCAGCTCTGTGTTTGTTTGGCTTTGTGTTCGTTGTTGGTTGCGATATTCTCCGAAATGCTAGAGGGCACACAAAAAAAATTGTGGAGAATGAGAAAGACGAGTGTAAGCCAGAGATTTGCACCACAGAACGGCGAAAAGCGATAAAGTGACCTCGACAATCAGGAGGAGGGATCGGGATTATCTGTAAACTCGTATCTCAGACTCGTCAACCAAGTTATTGTCTTTGAATGAGAATGAGAATGAGATTTTGAGTCAAAACTGTGGCGCTCCAAACCTAATATCTTAAGATCGCAAGGTAATAGTGAAACTGTCCCTTTTTCTTCCTCATCCACTTCAAGCCCAGTTTTTTAAGTAAAATGTTTTTTGACTTTTGCTGTCCTTGATTGACAGTTGTGTTCTTCGCAGCCTCGCTGTTTATTGGACCAGCCGCTGGAGGCAAAATTAGATCAGTAAATTAAAGCAGTGATTGCCCACCTCTCTCTCTGCATCTCTTTCACACACACACACACACACACACACACTCACACACTCAACAGTGCCCTCCTGAAATATAGATGAGTTGAGCAGTATCAGGCGGTGGGTAACATTCTGGAGCCTGCAGAGAGACAGAGACCAAGAAGGGGAGCCAGATAGAGCCTTTATCAGGATGGATCTATTATTAAAGGGGAGGTATGCTGTGTGCTATCACACCCGGCTGGGACCAGTCACATGCTGGGCCCTGTCACTGTCGGGCTAATCGCATGGGGCTAATCACATGGGGCTAATCGCATGGGGCTAATCGCATGGGGCAGTGCGTCTGTGTTTAGAAAAGTTGAACCGGGTCTCAAGGTTTTTCGAGGTTGGTTGTTTTTGTACGTGATGTTTTCAAATTGGTGTTCAATGCAATTTTAGGTTGTTATTTTAATTATTATTCCATTCAGCTGTTATCTGCATCAAATTCAAAGCGATGAGACCTCGACTTGATTGAGGGCGTCGGGGGCCGAGGACAGGAGAGAGAATGGAGTCACACAGTAAAGGATGAAAAGAGGAGATGAGAGAGAGACACTGGACTTTACCACTGGGACCAATAAGAGGCTCAAGGAGAAAGAGACACACACTTAAAATGGGGGGAAACAAGCGGACGTCTCTGTGCAGAAGCCAGAAAACAGACTCTCTGAGTCGGTCTGTGAGAGACGAGACAGATCCAGGTTTTGTTCTAATGAGCCTTACTGAGTCTCAGGGGGAGTGAAGGAGACCGAGGAGAGAGTCTGTGTGCGCCTGTCCAGATGTGTGAACAGCTGGCACTGTGGTAGGAGCAACTATCCTGGCCGGACTGAGATGTGATGAGCTGGCACAAGACTTTGTACGGACACACACACACACACACGGGCACTCTCTTTCTTGGGCATGAGATTCAACTTTCCCAGAGTATCTGTACGCTGCCACAAACACACACACACACACACAAATATACTGATGCAGTGTGTCCACAAGCATCTACCCACAGAGCACTAGATGCAACACGCAAACATATGCGCAGACGAGGGGGGCAGCAAGACTCTTGGTATGGAGGTTTTTTTCACGTTAGATGAGATTAATCTAGTCAATTTATTCGGCGATTAATTCCTGTTAGTAATCAGAAAATACAGAAAGACGATGGATTGCGTTATTTGAGAAAAAAGGAGCTGGGGAAGGAGGAAGGAGTGAACGGAGGAGGAACGGAGCGCGCAGGCTGGATCCTGTGGACACTGAGGGATGTGGAACAAGATAAGTGGGAGGGTGGGTGGAGCGTGAGCGGGGTGGAGGAGTGAGGGGGGGGGCGGTGCTCCGCGTTACCACGAGCAGGAACATGTCTGATTTAAATCCAATCACTCGTCGCCTGTTTTCCCGGTTCAGGGCCGACGCCCTCTAATTGTGCTGAATGACGTGCTCGGAGCCCAACTCATGTTATTTACTATTTTAATTCACCACAAGACTCGGCTCACCGCGGCACTTTTTGCCTGTTGTAATCAATCATTTCGAGTCACAGCGGATCATTGCTCTGAATTGTAATTGAGAATAAATTGTGGTTTGATTTTTCTATTACGCAGAAAACTAGCTTGATTAGAGTTCAGTCGAGCGCCGTCTGTGCTCTGAAATGGTGATTGGGGGTCAGAACACAACGCAGGTTGATGTATTATTTCATATATCTGTTAGAGAAGTTAACCCCTTTCTCAATCAGAAGATTGAGGTTCATTTATATTACTATTTCCTTCTTTTTCCTGGATGGTTTAGAACACATTTGTCACAAGTTGTTTCTTCAAATATTAGGTACTAAATTACCTTGTGTCATGTGGTAAGAACAAACAGCTGCATTGTATTTCCAATTGTCACCACACACCAGATTTCCATCTGGTTTCCTCCTTCTCTTCAGTGATTTACAGTCACACGGCGCACTTTTCTGTGTTCCCAAAGGTCGTTCTGGTCATAAAGCATCTTGGTTGAAGCCTTGACCGCATGGTTTACAGTATGAACTCCTGCTTGTGGCCCCTGAAGAGTGTTTTAACAAGGTTTAGAATTCCCCCTCTAGTCAGCGCTGGTTAATAATCAGCCCTGTACTCTGCTTTTTATTATTCATTTTTTTGTCCCCCTGAAACTATCAAAGTCAGCCGTCTCGTCCGCATGGCGCCATTTAAACGCCGGGCGTCAGAGTGACCTTTTGAAATGGACATGTGATGGGAGGGGAGTCATCCGCGGCGAGTTTCGAGGAGGACCACGAGATGCCCAGTGTTTCCGCACAGGGATGGAGGTGGGGGGCAGAATGAGTTGTTTGAAGGCGGGAGGATCCCTAGGGGGAGGTGAGTGTAAATGGTTGTAAATGTTTTCTGCACAGAGCAGGATCACAGCCAGCCGGTCTCACAGAGCTCATCGGCGACCTTTTGACCCTTCGGCCCATCCGGCTGCCGCCTCCTTTGCACCTGTGCTCCCCGTCGCCCGTGTTCTCCCATCAAAGGCCGCTGATGCAGTGTTGTGTTCAGGGAAATGCCCAGCGACTGGTGGGAGAGCAGAGCCCTGGTTTGTGGACGGCTGGGGGGGGGGGGAGGCGGTCCCAGCAGAGAGTGGGCGGTTTTAGTGTCATCCTCTCCCCAGTGCCTGTCCCCTCCATGCTTCACCACCTCCCTCCCGTTCACGTGCGTCGGCCCCCGAGATGCCCACAGGTTTCCCGCTCGGTTTCATTCAAATGGGGCAGGAGGGGGTTAGGGTTAGGCCGGTTTGAGTGCGCCGTGGCCGTTGTTTAATTTCCCAGAGTTTCAGACAGGAGGGGGGGATTGCTTCTGTTTGGGTAGCTGTCTGAATGGACTCCGAGGTAGTAACACTGCAGTTATTACCACAGCGCCATTTTACAACTAATTTATTTTTTGCATGATTTATTTTCAAAATATTACTTATTTCCTCTTTTAAATCTCCTTGTATACATTGCCCGTTGGGTGTGTAATTTAGAAGAATTAAAGCATTATTATCATTTTACAAAAACATACTGTGATACTGCAGAACGCTTAGTTCTGTGTGTGTGTGTGTGTGTGTTTGTTTCAGGGTTGCCCAGTGTCTGAAGGGATTAACCCAGTGGGAGTTTAATTGTGCTCTCATGTGTGGCCAGTTGTACTGTCTGCTACAGCTTCTAACACACACACACACACACACACATTTCACAAATACAAGACTTTACATTCATTTCTACACATTCTGCCTCCCTTTTGCCCTCTTCCTTCGTCACACACACACGTTCGTCCTGTATGGTCACCAGGCCGAGCGGCGTGTGGTCCCACGGGGCTGACTACAGCGTTACCTTTGGGTTGAGGCCATGCGGCTGGATGTGGTCTGGGCCCGCCGAGGGACCGCGTGAAGCCAGCGGCCCAATTGAAGAGTTAGCCAGGAGGAAGTGGTTAGATCCTCTACCCGTCTCCATAGCAACGGTCACACTATTACGACCGTATTCCTCATCACACGCCTCACCAGTCTTCCCGTGTGTGTGTGTGTGTGTGTGTGTGTGTGTGTGTGTGTGTGTGTGTGTGTGTGTGTGTGTGTGTGTGTGTGTGTGTGTGTGTGTGTGTGTGTGTGTGTGTGTGTGTGTGTGTGTGCGCGCGCGCGCGCGACAGAGTGTCAAAGCACTGAAAATATTTCTTACCGTCCCCAGCAATCTGTTTGAATGCGTAGTGTCCTGTGTTTCGGGTTACTTGGGTTACTTACTCGGGTGTCTCTGCACTGTGGACAATAAGAGGACATAGTGTAGCACATGCATTACATTTAGTAATGTGGACAGAAAAGGGCCCGGCGCTCCGGGGAGGGTCCCCAACAGCAGGAGACGGATGCTTAACCTACTGGAAGTTTCTGGGCATTATTAAGTGCCGATGGCCACCGGGTAAGATGAGCCTCTAAAGGGCTGTGGTGCCCCTGGGACTCATCGGGGCGGCTGTTGAATCAGAGCGGGCGGTGTCATTGAGGCAGGATGGAGAGGATGCATACGGCTCTGCATGACATGGACAATGTTATCTGAGGGAAAGAAAGATTTGTGACAAAAAAAGGGGACATTTTTCCTATTTGAAGTTTTTGCCTGTAGGACAGCTGTCATTGAAGACGCAGACAGAAAACCGGCGGGAAAGAAAGGTTTGACATGCAGAAAAGGTTCCCTTAACATTTGAGTACTAAGTCACCCCAAATCTCAGCTCACTGTTACCTACTTATTCTGTGGCTTTATTATTAACACCTGCAGTAGGATTAGTTGTGTGGAGGCATAGTGGTGCGGCTCTCGGGTTTAAAGCAAGATGTCTTTGTGTAAAGGAAACACAGATGGACACTGTCCACCATGTCCACCTCCGTGTCAATGCAGCAGCTGGCGTATGGCTGTAAAGGTGTGTGTAGCCCGAGGCGTATTGAAACGATGGGTTTCCTGCGTTGTGTCTGGCTCTGAAGATCCATCAGTATTCAGCATTTGATGCATTGGGATTGACCTTCGGTCTGCCATCTGTCAGACATGTCGCTCCCCTCCAACCAAAGGTTCACCTGGGACGAGATGCATCTCGGGAGATCTTTCCTCATTCTGTCTCCCCTGTCTGCCCCTCCTCTCCCTGGCCTGATGTTTACGTGGTTCTTTCTCGCTCTGCTCTGAACCAGGGGTGTTGGCGGGCCAGGAGGAAGTGACACGTGCTTGACGGGAAGCTACCTTGGGGACAAACAGGGCTTCAACGTCTCGCGCCGCTGCCTGTCCAACAGCACCAACACACACACACACACACACACACACAAGCCGATACAGAGACTTGAAAGGCCGACACTGGAGCAGCAGTCGAGGTTGAGGGCTATTTGGGAAACACTTCTGCTGCAGCGGGGGACACGTGATTCGCATATCCATCCACACGCCATTGTCTTCCTCCAGTAGGCATTAGACCGTGGCAGTGAATGCTATTAGTCCGTCCAAACCCTTAAGTGTATAATGAGCAGTTGGGATAATGAAAATGAATGGAAGCGATTCACAACTGGGATCCATCCCTTGCTGGGAAAAATGGATGCTCCACAGAATGTTCTTGGTAGTAAAAAGATAATGACATAGATGTCAGCCCCGGTGTGTGTGTGTGTGTGTGTGTGTGTGTGTGTGTGTGTGAGAGAGAGAGAGCTTTACTGTGTCTGTGTGTACTATCAGTTGAAAGGGACGCTGTAAATCATTAGCTTGAAAGGAAATACTTGGTTATATCTAGCATTAGCATGTTCAGCTAGCTATGGCTAGCTTACTGTGTTAGCAGGCACGTGCACAGATAGACCCCAAGTGGGGCTCAAGCACCTGCCCTTTTGCCCTGGATGAGAAAAGTGCCCCTTCTGCTGGAGCCCAACCTTTTCTTCATTGGTCAATATTTAAGAATAAAAATGACCATCTGTCATCAATTGACCCCAAAATGTGTTTTGATATTGGACGGGGCATTTATTTGAGTTCTTGTCAGAATTTCGCCCCAACATGCTCCGCGCCCCCCTCCCCATCTCCTCCTCATCCTCCTCATCCTCCTCCTCCTCTTGGTGCCTGTGAAGTGCTGAGCGCTAACCGGCTGCAGCATCAGACCAACAGGTGATGACTGTATTTGGTGATGAATTAACAACAACATTAGCGCCGCTGAAAACATTAAGTCGCAAAAAAATAAAACAAAACCAACTCGCAAAATCGTGATTTCAAAGCCTTGTCCAGCTGTTTAATGATGTTTCTCATATTTAATGGAGAGAGACGGAGAGATGCAGGAGAGATGCAGGCAGAAGTATTGAAATTAAAGGTATTAAGTTGAGCTGCATGACAGTCTGGTGAGGTTTATTATTATTATTATAATTAATAATAATTATAAGTTATCTTACTTTGTTTGAGCACCTGCCCCCCCAAATGTGCACGTGCCGGTTGTGTTAGTAAGAGCACAGCAGCCAGGGCGTGTAATGTCCCTCTATCTGCTGTATGTCTAAAGGTATGTTTGTTATCAAGCTGCTGGGGTTGTTTTCATCGAGAACGGCGTTGGACAACTGTCCTATCTGTTGACGTCTTTTCTAACACTTCTATCTAACTTAGACCTTTAATTTAGCTGGAAAATAAAACAAGCTAATTGATGATGGATACAAAAGTCAAATACGTTATATACATACTTTATGTAACTTAACTATTATTTTTTTACTTCAAGGTTACAAAGAAACTGAAAAGAACTGGAATGGACTATGGATGATTGAGTTGTAAAAAGGTTCATAGATCACTGGTTTGGTGCCCTGATCAATGTGATCGTCATAGTATCATCTAAGTGTTATATGTAAAGCATGTAATTACCCAGAAGTCAAGGTCAAATTCGAAAGCTCATTTGATCTGATATTCATAATTGAAATATTAACACCCATATAATTGTTGTCTAATAGTTGTTGTTTGTCTTGTAGTCCTAACTGCCAATTTTACCACACATTAATGTAATGCTAAATAGGATTAATGTATGTGTGTGTGTGTGTGTGTGTGTGTGTGTGTGTGTGTGTGTGTGTGTGTGTGTGTGTATATATATATTAGGGGTGTGTGTGTATATATTAGGTGTGTGTGTGTGTGTGTGTATATTAGGGGTGTAACGATTCATTCACTGAATCGATTAATCGATTTATATTCCTGCGATAACACTGAATCGATCTGTGCTCCGCAAATCGGCATTCCGGACGATATATATCGATTACAAATCGATTGAAATGGTACATAATCGATTGTATCGATACTTGGAAACTGCACATTGGATTTAAGTACAAAAACTGGATAGATGTGTGTTTGTTTGTTTGTTTGTTTTTTAGCACTTTAGACACGTTAAACGTTACTGGATTCAGTCTGCCTGTCTGTGACGTCATCAGTACGCAGCGGCAGCCGCGCGAACAACAACAAAACACAACGTGGAGGAGACACCTCTAGCAGCGTCACCGCTGCAGCAGCAGCAGCAGCAGCAGCAGCAGCAGCAGCAGCAGGTAACTCCAGCTCTGCAGACACCTCAGGCCTTAACATCACAGTAACAATTGCTTTTAGTTTATCTGTAAAGACATGCGACCCTACAATGTGGTTGAAAATCCGGGGTTCTGTAAATTGATCCAAACGTTGTGTAATGTTTACATTGAAAATGGCACTTGATTCAAATAAAAGGTTGATACATTTGCCATTAATTGTTGTTTGCTTGTTTATAATATCCATAATTAATTTAAACCTGATTTCCTTACAAGAAACAACAGGGATCTCAGAAACTTTGCCTGCACTGTCCGGTAAAGTTACTGAATCGATTTCAAGTCACTGAATAGAATCGTTCTAAATTAACCCAGATCGTCCATGAATCGAATCTGCAACCATGAATCGCGATTCGAATCGAATTGTTGTTAAAATGAATCGTTACACCCCTAATATATATGTATATTTATATATCTTTAACCTGAGCCGCCGCCTCCTTCTCTCTCTGGCAGCTTCTGATGCACACCGACGGCGACGCAGACGGCTTCCTCCACGAGCGGCTGCCCGTCCTCTCCTCAATGTCCCGCCCAGAGGGCGGGGCCACAGCCTACGTGTGCCAGGACTCCACCTGCTCTCCCCCGGTCACCGACCCCCAGGAACTACGCAGGCTACTGCTGGAGAGACGGGCAGAATGACCCCGCAGAACGCGACGAGCTGAGATGAACCGCGAGGGCAACGCGCTTCGCACAACGCGTAGAAAGCCAACATGCTACATTGGTAGAACCAGGAGGTCACTTGGGCTTCTGTCCTTCAATCCAAACTCCCACTTCTCAGCTGGTTTTTACCTCCAAGGTGACTTTTTTTAGAGACCTTTCATCAGTGGAGCCATATTCAAATTCAGGTATCTAAATATCCTTAATGTAAATAAATATGTATCAATAAAACAGCGGCGGCTTGCTGAGAATATTTAACACATGTACAAAATGTACCCCGGGTCTACAGACTCGTGATGGACAACAAGAGCTCTTGGAAAAGTTGGACTGGCACCGATCCCCCCGCCAGTGTGCGTGCGTGCAGGTGTGTGTATATAAAAATGAGGGTCGGTCAGCAGGGTTGTACGTATACATGCGCATCAAAGTTTTTGTGCACATTTGATTTCAATCTCGAAGTAACGTCGCAGCGAAGGAGCCGCTCTCCCAGGATCCCCCGTTTACCATCTGCTCTCAGCCGCGCTGTCTCCGAGTCAACGTGAGAGGAATCTTCTCCGCCGCTGCAGAGACTCGTGGCTTTTATCTCGAGGTTTACTGCAATGCACAGCATGTATACGCACAGCCCTGAATAATAAATAGATTTCCCTTTAATGCTTCTTTTCTGTTTGCAGTTTGGATTCTCTGGTTGTCATGAAGCAAGGCTTTAGTGCGATTTACTCAAACGCACTGTTTTAAGTTCAGTCTTTTTAGTTTTAAGACTTCAGGGATACTAAAAGAAAAGGCACTATGTGTTGAATCTTTTACATTATTAATAAAATGTTCTTTCTCTCTGTGTACTATAAATATTCATCACGCAGAGAAAAGCCCACTGTTGTTCTACTGGTTCTTTCTTCCCTGCATGAAGGTAATGTAAACAGGGTGGGGGGGCTGCCTTGGAGGGTCCCGCTCTGAAAAGCAAAAGAGAAGACGGGTGGAGAAACAAACGTGATTGCCCCCCCCCTCTCCATTTTGCACAGGGCTTCCTCTGTGGAAGAAGAAGAAATTGCTAAGAGAGGAAACCGGGGCTGAAGGGGAAGATTGACGCGTGTAGTTCAGAAGGAGAGGGATCACTCTGCTCCACTTTTCTTAACCCGTCAGGTTGTAACTATCGCACTTTCTGACACATTTGGGGCTCCTTCCACATTGATGTAACCCCCCCCCACCCCTCACCCTTTAATCGGGACCCCTCTATCCCTGTTGAGAGACTCTCTCGTCTCTCTGCAGCAGTACCTCACTGAAGCACCGCTGGCTTCTCATGTATTCAATCTTTCTCTTCACCCGCACCGTTTGTTATCGCCCCTCCTTTGGGAATTCCACCCCTGCTCTCGTTATTGTTCCGCTCTGGTTGTCGCAACGGGCTCCACAAGCTAAACTTTAATTAGCACTGACGGAGATTAATGGTGGAGAACATATTGACCCGCTAATTGTGAAGTCATCTAACTGCCACAAATCCGAGAAGATATGAGTGATGACTTTATCTGTGTGGCTGTTTTCATTGCAAAATACAAACGGCCATCCTCGTGTTTGTACTGAATATTACTGATAGTAACTAATATTACTACTGTGTGTATGTTTAAACAAACCTAACCAAGTACACTGAAAATAAATAACTTTTACTTTCAGTTGTGCTGGAAATAATCATTGCAAGCTTGTGGTAGACTACAGTCCGACTTTTAGAAGGAACTATTTTAGATTTGTAGAATTTAACATTTGATGTTTCTTGTGGCAAATAGTATTTATATTGCTCTTAATGTTTAATGGTGTGTGGCTACATTGACTCACTTTTTCAATAAGCCTATTGAGTCAGATTGTATAAAATCTGGACTCAAAGCAAGTTACAGCCACTTGGCACAAAAAACAAAGTCCTAAACACTCGAAATGTTCAAACACACTAATAAACAATTTCATTGCCGCTGTATGTATTGTTGTTGGGTCTGAGTAAGCTTGTTTTTGCTTTTATATGTACTTCATATTATTTGCAAGTTTGTAAATGCACATGCATGGTGTTATCTCCTTCTATTTGAATGGAACTTTAGAGCACGTAAGCGAGTTTATTCGTGCATGTTCATTTCCCAATGCAGTTCTTTGTGTTTCTGGGTGCTTATGTTATTGACCCGAGGCCACGGTGAGTGTTTGTGAGAAGGAACCTCGGGTTGCGTGTGTGCTACTTGCTATCAGACGTGGCTGCTGTGTTCCAGTCTGACCTCGCGATAATGAGGCCACACGGTGCAGAGAACAGCGACTCCCTAACATGCTCTCTGGACTTTATTATCAACTTCATTTTGTGAAACCCCCCCAGGTATTGTAAGGTATGGTGTAAAATGGGTCTTTGGTAAAGCTTTCCCATTGTGATAAAGAAGCAAAGATACATTTACGTATAATGTACCGGTAGTAGAAAAGAGGTTTTATAATCAGGAAGTTTTTATTTGTGTGTGTGTGTGTGTGTGGCAGGTTGTGTGTCAGATCCACACCACTGATTAGTCCAAGAAAAAAAAATCAATACTTGTCCCCCCGTCAACCCAGAATGGAACCGGGGCGATTACACTGAGACGAAACTCCCACACAATACCGAGACAAAAGAGGTAGACGGTCCTCACAATTCCAAATGTCTCGATGTACCATACAGTCCAGATGACCTCACTTCAGTCCTTTTTTTTAGCAACAATTGATTTATGCTTATCTTAAATAATCCACATAATAGGGCTTCTGGAATAAATACCATGTCAGAACTGACGTCAGCGTTTATCCAACAAGCTGCGGCTGTCAGGATCGGGTGTGTAGGCAGAGACACTCAAATGCAGAGTTGAAAAACAAAAAGACTTTAATAGTCAAAATCCAGATCAAAAAATGCCAAGGGGGCAAAAACGCAGGCAGGGACAAGGGACAAGACACCAAGGGAACCACGAGCATGCAAACACTGCATTCAACAATGACGCGACAAGGCACAAGAGACACGCATGGCGTAAATACACCGGGAAGGTGCAGGTGATCGGACACAGGTGGAAACAATCATGGACACGGCGGACAATCACAGGGGACGACGGGACAAGGCAGGAAGTGACGTTAACTCAGGGGCACCAGAGGCGTGAAACTACAAAATAAAACAATACATGAACCCAAACCGGGACGGCGGCCGACACAAAACCTTCAGAGGAGAACAAGGTCAGAATTCTGGGGATCGCGGCGCAGGGGGTAGAGAGGGTTGGTGGTTCGAGTCCTGGCTGCCCCATGTCCCATGTCGAAGTGTCCCTGAGCAAGACACCTAACCCCTAATTGCTCCCCGGGCAAAAATGTAAGAGCCATGGGTTAAAAATGTAATGTAAGTCGCTTTGGATAAAAGCGTCAGCTAAATGACCTGTAATGTAATTCAACGGCACTTTCCATCCCCCTTAAATAAGCATCTTAAACATCACAAGTTACACCAACACTTGTTTTTTATTTACCTAATTCCAAATCTGCCCTCTGTTATTGCTGTCGCTGACTTGGTGAAGCTTTTGAATGTAATGTGGTCGGTACCTCCGTTTGAGCCCCTGCATCTACACATTTCCACTTTCCTGCATCATATGGCAAAGAAGGTGCGTTGGTGTAGTTATATATGCTCCTCACTCTCTCTCTGTCTCTCCCTCATTCTCCTGTGACTTGTCTCAATCTCTGTAACATGACAGAGGCGGGTGTTGGATCATGGCTCGGACTGTATATGGGCTCCGGCAGCGTGTCAGAAGCAGTCATGAGCAGCGGAGTGCATCCAGCCAGACTGGAGCGGAGGCGAGGAGGTAATAGTAGAGTTATAATAGAGTTATCCCAGCAGTCTGCGAGGAAATACCTCTGAATTGGTCCTTGACGTTTTGACACAAACCTTCAATTTTGCCCATTTGCCGTTCTGGTGGTGCGGTAAGTATTTCCCTAAAGGGGAGATGACTCAATAAAACAGTGTATATTTGTCCACGTCAAGGAGGTTGAGACTGATATACCTTGACGACCAACGGATGGATTTATATGAAGTTTCGTAACGTCATTCATGGTTCCCAGAGGATGACGTCTACTGACTTTACTGATCCCCCTGACTTTCTTGAATCCAGCACCACCAGCAGGACATATCTGGGAAATCTGTCAAATGGATTGGCTCAAATTGGTGCACGGAGGACAAATTCAAATTAGTTTGCTGATCGTCTTTGATTTTCTTTAACATGAGATGGGCGCACTTTTTAGCTTAGAGTGTTTAAGTGTAGAGGCAGCCATTTTTGTCTTTTTCTATTCAACATATTGAATCAGTCTTATTGCACCGTTCATGTCCCTTAACGGACAACGCATCATATCTTTCTGAAAATGTTCTAATCCGTGGATTTAAACATTGATTCGTGGATGCTGGATGCCGACTATACATTTTTTTTTTTTTAAAGCCAATAAAATCCCCCTTTCTAATATCCTTGGGGTAAGTGTGCGTCAGAGAGTGTGCCTTTGCCTTGTCTCCCTCGCAAAGTAATATTGAATGGGACAGCTCCAGTTAATAGCAGCTCAACTCACTTCCCCTCCCTTGGCACCGGGTGCAGGTGACAGTAATAATCGCAGACTGTGGGATGGAGTGAGGAGAATGGAGCAAACGAAGGGAAAAATAGAAACAGAAATATGAGCTTGGTTCCCGGGAAAACACTGTGTGGATTTTTACTAGTGGCTTTAGTGCTGTGTATACTGGCGGCGTGCCTTTTGACGGGAGCGCTCCTGTAACTTGTTTTATTGCTCCCGATCAGTCACTTTGTGTGCACGTTATCTCCGCCCCTGGCGTCGCTATGCTGTGTTTTACCAGCTGCTACGCAGCCTGGCGGACATAAACCACCGTTCCAGCATAGGTATTATTAAACAATGTGAAATTCCTTTTGCCTCTCATGAGAGTGAGAAAAAACCATTCAGAGCCACTTTGCAGGCCTATAAATTGCACCGTGAAGCGCAATTTCTCTCGGACAGGTGTAGTTTCCAAAAGGCATTGGGCTCGGTCGAGGGAGGGTTGAGACCACAAAGGAAAAGAAGCGAGAAACACTCTCGCCGCTGGTGTTTTGTGAAGTGTGTTGGTAAGAAAGACTTAAAGCAGCATTTCATCTATTGTTAAGTGGATACAGGTACTGTGTGAGGGGTTGACCGTCAAAGTGCTACAACCGACACGTGTCCATAAAGTTTTACTTTGGATCAGAGTTCCACTGAGCAGAACTGAATTCCCTGTGTTTTACTCCTAAACCATAAACGTAATCAGGTTATATCATATAACTTTATCTTTGCATTTATCCCCGGCCAAATTTAATTAGTGCTGCTGTTAATTAGTTTGCTGCTCTTGGAAACCCACAATAAAAATGTTAATAATGGGAAAGCTAAATGGATGTAACCTGCTCCCACTAGTCCATTTGGATGTGTGTGAGGCGCGTGTGTGTCTTGGACTTCATGGAAATCAATCTCATACTTTCTCTGAAGCAGAAGCGCATCAATCTTTTGGTTTCGTTGTTAATGTATGACCAACAAAACCCTTGAAGGGCTCGAGTGTAATTGCAATTTGAGTACCTCAGCTGTAGCCGCGAGTCCCGCTCTTGGTTCACATTAAAAACAGATGCCACTTTCACTCCCACTCATCGCTGCCGATGGGCGCCGACGTAAAGAAAGGGAGAAAAAGAAGCTGGTGAAGCGTGGGAGAACAATTCAGCACTTCATCAGCGAGACAGAGTGGACTCCTTCTCTCCAGATTGATCACGGATCTAGTTTGTGTGGTGGATTTGGGAGGTAACTAGAGCGTATACCGGCTGTGGGGGAACAGGGCGACTAGTTAATCACGTTAGCCTAGTTAGATGAAAGCAGAAGGAGGGCGACGCTCATTAAATCCTTCCGTCCGCTTTTCCTTCCTACTTCCTTCCTCGTCCCTCTTACCCAGTGTCACTTGGCTTGGCAAGAGAAACCCGGTAATTGAATGCTGCTCTTTCCCCATTAAATTGGAATGATTATCAATACTTGTGAAAGGTTGAATTATCATCATTAGTGTCTTGGGTGTGATTATTGGTTTGCCATTTATTGAACCCGACGGCTTCTGTCGCCAGATCATTTCACGCAAGTTACACTGCGATGGAGGGTCAACAGAGTATGATCAATGAGGGCAAACGTAGTCTTCAAGCTACTCGTGCGTGACAGTTTTATTGGTCCTCTGGGCTCCTTGAACAGGGCTCCCTTTTAAAACAGCTTATTTTCTCAACGAGACCTGGTAAAATAACAGAAACAGGCCCAATAGAAAACTGGAAATAGTCTGTATTGTATATTTAAAAACACTCCCGGATCGGCTGCGCACGCACAAACTCCACGTGACCATCCTCCATCTTTATGTCCGAGGCCTTGACATTTGGCTGACATTTGATGGCATTCACGCACACGTGTAAACTGCAGTTTTTGAGCGTTTATCAAAAATGAAAAGAGAATGACTGTGATGGCCAAATGTCCACGGGCACCAGCCATCTGTCGTAAAGAGCACTGCGGCTGCCTCGCGGTTCAGAGTGCTGCTCAGGGAGGTTACACGACTTCTCAGCGATTGCACTAGAATGAACTGTGACCGAGCCCTTGGAAATGGCCAAATAGCCAAAACACGTTTGAGTCG